TGAGGAGTATGTCAAGGTCTTTGAGGACCAAGAAAGGGAAGTGATCGTAGAACCTTTAAAATACCTTGCTTGACAATTGCACCAAAATGCTGCAATCCAGCTTTTATGTGGATAATCTGATAAGGACCCACAACTCTTTGGACAAATTGACGATCTTGTATTCACAAGCTCTTGAGAAGATTACAAGAAGGAGAGTTCACACTACAATCCTGCAACTCTAACCATGTGAACTTACAGGAATTGATGAAGGGAGAAGGCACTCTTGCAAGTTACAACTGCCCTTGGGAGAAAGTACTGGGTTATCAATATAACCCTATGACTGACACCATCAACATCGCCCCCTATAACTGCGACCCTGAGGCAGAAACTAAGAGGTGCATACTGTCTGAAGCATCTAAGATATTTGATCCTCTTTCCTTATGTCTGCCAGTAACTATACTGGCCCGTACCTTCATTGGTGATTTGTGGAAATTGGATTTAGGTTGGGATGAGGTAATTCCAAACAAACTGCAGGCCCAATGGTCAATTATTGCCAAGGAATTATTGGAAGTCAGCTACATTAGTTTCCAAAGATGAACCCTTGATGAAAGGAAAGAAGCTGACTTGTTCTTATTTTGTGATGCCTCAAAAGGTGCATATGGGTTTGCAGCCTATGCAACCCAAAGTGTTTCATCCTTGGTTTTTTCCAAGGACAAGGTGGCACCACTTAAATCAAAGACAGTACCAACATTGGAACTATTGACAGTTTTTTTGGCAGTCAAATGCCTGCGAATGTTATTGAAGGTGTATTCAAATGTGAAATTTAAAAATGTGTTCATTGCTGTTGATGCACAAAGCATACTAACAACAAGAATGTTTTTGCCAAGAATAGATTAAAGGACATTACGCAATTGGAACCTGAACTAACATCAGAGTTTAACATGTCCATACAGTACAAATACGTACCTACAGGACAAAACCCTGCCAACCTAATTACTAGGGATCTCTCTACCACCAAGATGAAAGAGAATTTGGAATATTGGACCTCTGGACCTTCCTGACTACTAGATCAATCAACTTCCTGGCCTAAGAATGATTTGAATTGCCTGAGCCCAAAAAATAAAAGAATTATGTCCTCAGTATTTTGTACTACTTCTTGTAACTAGGATGAGCTGGTGATATAATTTAATAAATACTCGACATTGTAAAAATTGTTGAATATTGCAGCCTGTGTGGTAGAGTTTGTTAATAAATTGAAGAGGAGAGATACAGACTCAGTTATGGCAGCCCAAACACACTTGTTAAGGCTGATGTAATGACGATCCTTCAGGGAAGAGTTGGAGTATTTGCAGAATCCCTCTGGGAGGGCCATACCACAGAGAATGGATAGCTTAAAGCTATTCCTAGACAAAGAAGGAGTGATTTGTTCCAAGGGAAGAATAGGCAAGGTCTCTGTCTATGAATATGAGATAGTCAATCCTATCTTGATCGCTAAGGACCACTAGCTGACCAGTCTCATTGTATTGGATTGCTATTACCAATTCATGCATCTGAGCATGCCCAGTACATTGAATAAGATTAGGTTGTCTGAGTATTGGATATCACAAGGTAGACAATCTGTAAAGAAACTTGTCTGGGTGCCCCCTTTGCCAGAAATTTAATGCTATTTCTTTCACATACCCAAAAATGACTGACTTACCCAAACATCAGGTCAATATGATAAAACCCTTCTTGCGCACAGGGGTGAACTACATGGGTTACCTGTGGGTCATGAGAGGTAAAGAAAGAGTGAAGATATATAGTCTGATCTTTGTTTGGAGGTGTGGGCAATGCATCTGGAACTGATCAAAAATATGACTACCCAATCTTTCTGATGGCATTCATCCATTTTACTAACCTCTACAGCATACCATCTCACGTTTAGAGTGACAACGATAAGTCTTTTGTGTCAAGTTGTGATATATTACATGATGCATTGTAGTCTGGAGAATTTAAAGAAAAATTGGGTACTTGTGATATCAATCACATTAGTATATCCTTGCACTCTCCTTGGTTTGGTAACATTTGGGAACAATTAATCAAAACCATAAAATTGTGTCTATTCAAATTGATTTGTCATGCCAAGCAAACCTATTTTGTTCTTTTGACCATCCTTTCCGGTGTCCAAAATGCCATTAATGATCAACCCTTGACCTACAGAAGTTCATCAGATCCTGTCTTGGAGATCATAACAGCAAATCATTTTTTGTAACCAACAGTATCCCCCGATTAATATTAAGGATAGACAGCAGAAGTCTCTACCAGGTCGAACCACTCTCTAGAAAACAACTGATGGAATCTTTGCATTACAGAGTCAAGGCATTGAAAAGGTTCAGGAGGATTTGGTATCAGGATTATTTGTTGAGCCTGAGAAAACATGACTAAACCCAGCTGGGAAGAACTAACTATGCTATTTCTGTGGGAGAAATAGTAATAATCAAGGTTCCCAACAAAATTCACCCATTTTGGGACTTGGGTAGAATTACCCATCTTTTTCTGAGAGACAACGGCTTGGTCAGGTCTGCCTAGATTGAGAGAGGGGATGGATCTTTACAGGTTCATTTTTTGAAACACCTCTATCCCTTGGAATTGTCAGTTGATGAAACCATTAACCAGATTCACTACCACAAAATGAGAATAACACTGTTGACCCAGACAACTGTCCCTCTGTCCATTCTGATATACCGGATGCTAGGTTTTCGGTTTAAAATAGTTGGCATATATGGATTTTCCCTGGTTGTATGTGACCAGAAGATGGTAGTCCTACGATATTTTGTGATGGGTGCAATGACTGGTATCATATTACTTGTGTTAGCATACGTCAGCCACCCCCAGTTGAAAAGAGTTGGTACTGCCAGAATTGCATTGAACAGTTGCAGGTTCGACTTGAGGACCATCCATCCTGCCCTTCTGATATGACAGAAAACTCGTCAGCTGAAAATAGCTTGTGTATTTGGATTTGTCCTGGATGCAGTCGACCAGATGATGGTAGTCCTATGATATGTTGTGACGGGTGCAATGACTGGTATCATTTTTTTTGCATAGACATTCAGCAGCCTTCCCCTGAAGGGGACAGTTGGTACTGTCATACTTGGACTAGCTGAATTTATTACCGGTCCACCCTTGAGGAAAAAAAAAATTCTTTTTTTTTTTTTTTTTGTAAGATTCTCTTTTGTTTTTTTTTTAGTTTTGTTGAGATGGTAGTGTGTTGGAAAAAAAAGTAACAAACTTATTTTCATGGCTACTGTTAGAGGAGGAGAGGAAAATAAATAAAAAAAAACACCTGCCTTCCTTGGGATTGTTTTTATTTTACTGATCATGCAAATTTGATGCATTATGTGACTTACGAGGGTCACATGACACATTTTGCTATCTTATTAAAAGCAGCCTTTTTGCTGCAGTTTTTGTGTGTGCACATGCACTCGCTTTTTCCAAGTTACTACTTCTACCTATACAATGTTTTTTCTAACTGGGAAAATTTACCAGACCTTGACGGGAATCCTACCCTAGTTGCCACCAGCAATCTGTTGCAATTTTTTAATCTCTGGAACATTTAAGTTAGTGTATTCTCTTTCTCCCTCTGTCAATTGCCGTGATTGGGCCAAAGTAATAGATTGTTGCTTCTTGGGTTCATTACTCCTTTATCTACTAAGCCTTAGTAGATAAAGGAGTAATGATTCGCAATCCGTTCCTAGATTTATCAGTCATCAACCTTTTCAATTTTGAGTTATGTGAAGAAGAAGAATTAGCAAGCCTTTCCAGTGATCACGGTCTCAAATTGAAGTACACACAACTGCCATTGGACGCCTTTTGGATTTATAGAAGAGTATCCAACTAAGTAAAAAAGCCATCAAAATCTTACTGCAATTCTAAACTTCGTACCTATGTGAACTGGGATTTTCTTACCTAAACAACATTAAAAATAAAAAACATGAAAGACTTAAAAATATTGAAGAAGAGTTAAGAGCGTGTCTCTCTCACATTCGCCCAAATATTGCAGCAGTAGTCAAGAAGCACCAGACACAACTGTCCCACTGACATTCGCCATTACCCGATATTGAATACAGGATATCTTGATTTATGGGAATAAAAATTCTTCTTATATAATATTCTTTGTTTATTATTATTTTATTGCAAAAAGGCTTTATGAGTGGAAAATATTTATTTTTTGTGATAGGTGATCCGTGAAAATTTTAAATTAAAGAACTCAATATAGTGTGCCGCCGCCATGTAAAAAAGGTTGGGAACCACTGTACTAAGATCTTATTCCTTTTTACCCTCTCTTAGTATTCCCCACCGAGGGATTTCGCTAAACTATATAAAGCTAGTGAAAATTAAATGAATAGACAAATGAACTACAACTTCTCTCATATTCAATGTTAAAGAGGGCTGGAGAGCTTGACGATCAAACAAAACCTCATTAAATCAAGAATTATCTCCCCTGTGATAACATAAACGTTACATTAATCAATTTTAATAATCAAACTTCTGAAATAACATTTAAAATAACACCAAAAAAGCAAATTATGAAATGATTGTGAAAAATGTAATGAGTTTCTAAAGCCATAAAAAATAAGAAACTTCGTAAATTTATGCAAATTTAATTTGTTTATTTGATGACAAAAACAACTGTCCGCTGCAATTACAACCCAAGGACATATTTAAAAATAATAATAAAAACAGCTAGCCAGATTTAATAATATAACTGCACATAATAAAAACTCAGAACAAAATAGATGATAAAGTAATTTATATCCAAAATCCCAGCTGAATTATTTACATCATTAAATTATAGAATTATTTACAAAATAAATAAAATTAAGACATCGGTCACACTCCACATGTGAAGGACAGACGATTCAGTGTGCATTACTTTTAAAATATCTTTTTCCTGCATTTTAATAAAACTAAAATAATCATAAATTTATCATTTAATCACAATTAGAAAACGTATAGATCGAAGCTGAATAAATAAAACTTACAAAGCCGGGCAGAAGCCTTCGTGCTGTAAAAGAGAAAAGTTTCTCCATTTCTATTCCATACAGTTCAGTTTCCGTTAAACAGGTTCGCACTGAATATAAAAAATATAAGTTTTCAAGTATATAAATTTAATCATTTTAATTATTAAAACGTATTTTAATGTAACATTTTCTTGGTAATAGGATGTTTTTACTTTTGCTTCCAAAATTTAAATAATAAAAAAAGTTCGCAGTAAATATTACCATGGTAACTAAACTTCGCGTGTCTTTGATGGAACGAAGTCTTTCCATCTTCCAAAATAGGAATTTAAAAGAAAATAAAAATCACAAAACTAAATCGCCCATTTCGGCTGGAGGGTAAAAATTAACAAATGCCAAAAAAAATCAAGAAAAATGATCAAAAACTTTGGAAAGACTCTCATACAGCAAAATTGAAGATTCGACTTTTTAATGAAGTGTTTATAATTCATGTGTCCCTAGACATGACAGTGAAAGAATTGAGAAAACTTGTGGAATTGGCAACTGGAATTCCGTACGACCTACAGAGGCTAACCTACTTGGATGAAGGTGTGGTTATCTGGAGGCACTGTTGAGTGGTGGGATCAGATCCTTTTTTTGTCAGATATTCTTTGCCACGACCATAGGAACCTCATACAAAAAAATAAACAATTAGAATTAGACATAAAAACTTTGATTAATTGTTGTGGCTCTTGTTATTGTTATTATTATTGTTATTATTATTATTATTATTATTATTATTATTATTATTATTATTATTGTTGTTATTATTATTGTTATTATTATTATTATTATTATCATTATCATCATCATTCGATTTCTGCTATATGGACACACTACCTACCAAGTCTGGAAAGACCTAAGGCAGGTCGTGGTGTGTTGTTATGGCCACATTTCATGTTAATTTTTTTTTTTTTTTTTTATCTCCGATGAAGTTGCTAGCGTTACATAGACAAAGTTCTCCCTTAGTGTGTGTGCTGTACTTAATAAGACAATTTTCTGTATGTCTCTTAAGCTGGGGTTTCAGGGATTCTTTCAATGTGTTGTTTTGTTCCATTTTTATAATTCCAAGTGCACCTATTACCACTGGTATTATTCTTGTTTTCAATTTCCACATTTTTCTATTTCAATTTCAGGTCTTTGTATTTTGATAGTTTTTCAAATTCCTTGGTTGCTATGTTACAATCCGCTGGACAAAGCCATATCAATTAGTAGGCAAGTTTTTTCTTTCTGGTTTTTTGACAATAATGTCCGGCCTATTTGCTTCAATTTTTCTGTCTGTGTGGATGGTATAATCCCATAGAATGGTGACATCTTCTATTTCTGTAACCGGCGCTGGCCGATGTTCATACCAGTGTTTGCTTACACATTTTCCAAAGTGTTTGCACATTGTCCAGTGTAAGTATTGCCCCACTCTATCGTGACGATTTTTATATTCATTTAAAAGTATAGAACATCCTGAGATTAGATGGTCTATTGTTTCTTGGTATTTGTCACAGAACCTGCATTTTGGATCCACATTATTATGTATGATATTTGCCTGAAAATTCCTAGTGAAAAGACTCTGGTCTTGCGCTGCAAGAATAAAGCCTTCAGTTTCAGACTTTAATCCAGATGCTCGTAACCATCGATGAGTATTAACTTTTATCAACATTGGGTTTATTTGCACGTTCTGGATATTGGCCATGCAGAGGTTTGTCTTGCCAGCGTTGTTTCATCTGTTCAAGGGCTTTATCCTTGGCTTTCTTTTTCATATCTTTTGCTGCAATAGTTGGTTCTTGGCTTCTGTTTTGATTTACTACAGAATCTACTAAATGTAAATGTTGTTTGTATTTACTGCCTTCTTTTATTATTGAATATTTTTTTTCTTTCTGTTTTCATGTTGTTTCACTAATTTTATCATCCAGTCATTTGTTGTTTCCATGTAAGTTAGTAAGCCAATAGTTGTTGTCTTGTATGACAATTCTAGCTGAATAAGACCTCTTCCACCTTCTTTACGGGGTATGTATAGACGGTCTACATCAGCCTTTGGATGATGCATCTTATACTTAGAAAGAAGCTTTCTTGTTTTAGAATCCATTTGTCTGATGTCATTTAGAGTCCAGTTCAAGATGTTGAAACTATATTGGACCACTGGGATGGCAAGGTTATTAATGGCCATAATTCTGTTCTGAGAATTCAATTCAGTTTTTAATACCAGTCGTACCCTTCTATAGTACTCTTTACGCACTATTTCTTTCATTTTCTTATGGTGAATTCCTTCACTCTCATTTTACACCTAGGTACTTATAAGCTTCTCCTTGTTCTAAATCTTTTATTGTTACAGCAGGTCTAAACTAATAGAGGAAGTTTGTTGTAGCGATCCTCGTAAAACTGTAGCTTTAGCACATTTATCCAAATTGAATTTCATTCCAATGTCTTCACTGAAGCATTTTACAGTTTGCAGAAGACCTTCCAGCTCATTGTCATTCCTAGCATACAATTTTAAGTCATCCATGTAAAATAGATGGTTTATTTTCTTTTGAGCTATTTTGTAACCGCATTCTGTCTTGTTAAGTTGGTTGGTTAATGCTATAAGTGATATGCAAAATAATAAAGGAGACAAAGAGTCACCTTGAAATATTCCTCTATTGATGTTTATTTCGCCAGACTTATAGGTTCCATTTTATGATTGAGGTAAAGTGTAGTTTTCCATATCGACATACATTGTTTGATGAAATTGATGATAACGGGTGATACCTTGTACATACTTAAAGACTTTTAAGATCCAGGAATGTGGTACACTATCGAATGCTTTACGATTTATTATTATTATTATTATTATTATTATTATTAAATGGACACACTTTACCAAGTCCGGAAAGACCTAAGGCAGGTCGTGGTGTGTTGTTATGGCCACATTCATCATTTTTTTTTTTTTTTTTTTTTTTTTTTTTTTTTTTCTCCGATGAAGTTGCTAGCGTTACATAGACAAAGTTCTCCTTAGTGTGTGTGCTTTAATAAGACAATTTTCTGTATGTCTTAAGCTGGGGTTTCAGGATTCTTTCAATGTGTTGTTTTGTTCCATTATGCACCTATTACCACTGGTATTATTCTTGTTTTCAATTTCCACATTTTTTATTTCAATTTCCAGGTCTTTTTATTTTGATAGTTTTTCAAAATTATTATTATTATTATTATTATTATTATTATTGTTATTATTGTTGTTATTATTATTGTTATTATTATTATTATTATTATTATTATTGTTGTTGTTGTTGTTGTTGTTGTTATTGTTGTTGTTGTTGTTGTTGTTGTTGTTGTTGTTGTTGTTGTTGTTGTTGATGATGATGATGATGATGATGATGATGATGATGATGTAGTCGTCGTCATCATCATTATCACTATTATAGATGTTATTGTTGTTTTAGTTTAGTTTTTTTTAGTCTTCTCGTTGATGGTGGTGGTGGTGATGATAATAGCAAAGTTTTTACTTGTTGGTATTAATTGTAAGACTAGTGACAAGTTTTAGCAATACCTGAGTTTCCAATTTGGGCCTTTGTTGTTAGTTTTATTCAGAGTTAACCTTCAGTTTTCATAGAGGACACTCAGTGAGGACTGAACTCGTAACACTAGTAATTAGCTTTTAAAACTACCTTAACCTTTCCTCTATGGCAGACAGCTTAAGTTGCTATGCATATAGCATAGCCTAGCACAGGACACATTACCAGGGTACCTATTCAGTACATCCATCCATAATGATTGCCGAGATTAATTTGCAAATGTTTGCAGTAGGTTGCCCATGGTAAGCTTTCTGTATAACTTTAACCCACTTTTGGAGCATTATCAACACATAACTATTTTTTTGGATATTGATGTGTTTATTATAAGTATTTTCTAGGCTCGGAGCACTCAGTGAGGAACTCATTAGCAATAGTAGTAGTGTATAAAACAAACTGCCATTATAGTTGAAAAAGAAGTTCCTCGTGCATTGCTGTTCCAACCAAATCTTGCCTTTGTATTCTGTTATCAGAATTTTCCATGCAGTTTTCTTTTCTTTAAAATCTAGGAATTACCATGAATTTTTGGGAAAGATGGTGGAGTGGTTTCCATCAGACTAGCTGCCACCATTGTCTGGAAAATTCAAACACAAAATTTGGTTATCAGTCTGCCAAGGAAATCATTTGTCCATCACCTATGAAAAGGATGTGAACTAGTATGCAAATTCTTTCTTTCAGAGTCCTAATTTAAAGTCTCACCTCCACACTCAAAACCTCTGGTGATGGGCTTGGGTCTTCCCCTGTATTAAATATCATTTAATGCTTCTTCAAATGTAAAAATAAAGAAGTTTAAGGTATTTATGATAGCTATCTAGGTACCTCCAGGGAAGTGCTAAAAAAATCAGCATACCGTGATGAAAACATGCTCCAAACATAATGAAAGCATTAAAATTAAGTAAGGGACTGAAATACATGTAAAATTTGTTTCAGTCCTTTACTTAATTTTATGAAAACTTGAGAAATTCAATGTGATAATTTTTAGTGACTATAAAAAGCAGAATTCTTTGAAGAATTTAAATCAGTGAATTTTTTTTTGCAAAATTGGACCCTGTCTTACTGAAAATATGTTCTGAATTGAAAAATAAAAAAATGAAATAAAACTAAGACATTATTTAATTAGAGAAGCTTTTAATTGCTTTTATGAATAATATATATTAAAGACAATATTGTCTGAAGAAAAAGAATTTTTTTCAACAAAAAATTAATTTTTACAAAATTTGTTTCCTTTTTTTTACAATTTTAAATTGAATAATTTATAAAGTTTTTAAATCTTTTAAAATTGATTTTCAATGTGATAATTCTTAGAAAATATTGTTATTAAATAAAACTATCTTATCTTATTACAATCAAATGACCCTGAATATTTTAAAAAGAATTTTGATTTGTTTTTGTATGTGTGATTACATTCAGAATTTCTGAAGTATGGATGTACAAACCAATAAATCTATCATTAAAAGGTCAAATGCTTTAAGGATTAACCCCTTGTTTATAATAAAGTTTATCGGCTGATCCACCATACTTAATTATAAACACATTTGTCTGTCAATCTGCTGCCAATAAATTGATTAACACATCAGGAAAATAAGACCCTGTAGTTAAGGAATGTTTGCATACAACATTTTATGCTATAAGTAAGTAATATTTGTTTAAAATCAGATTGATTTAACTTTAAATTTGCTAATTTTCCTCAAATAATGTTTCAGAAATATATATTTTATTTTTGCAAGATTTTTAAAACCAAGAATTAACTTTTGTTTATAAATGTGTCAAAACTAGCCGTTTAGATTGATTTTACTGAAAAAAATTGATTCCAATCAATATAATTTCTGTTTGAAATACACCACAGAATATTTTGCTTAATGGAAATAGTAAATTTTAAATTCTTTAGCTTTCAATTATAGCTAGAAAGAAAGTTTTCTCATTTTTAAAATTTATACATTTACCAAATTAGTGGAGGTGCCTAATTTTGATAGACTTAAATAGACCAATCATGCTTAGCTTACAATCATCTTATTTCAAGACAAAATTTTCTGGAACCAAATTTACTTCTTTCTAATAAATCTTTATATCGTTATGGTCTTATTTTTTAATTCATACCCTTTTAATTTAATTTTTTCTTATCAATATTTCAATAATAGCCTTCCATTGATTATTATCTTTTCAATTTGTTTTTTAAAGATATATCCATAATTTTTAAGACCAAATTTTCCATGACAAAACTTTTTGGGACCTATTTTTTGACTAAATAATTTAATAATGGTACAAAATTTAACCATTGCAATAAAAATGGACATATTAAAATCAAGAAGAAATAATAACAAAAAGCTTTTAACTTACCATAAAGAGATAAATGGAAAAGAAAACTTATTATTCTTTTCTATTGTTTGTTTTTAATATGTCCATCTTTATTGCAATTTTTAGACTAAATATTAATACATAAAATTAAAATAAAACTATGCTTGAAACTTTAATGCTGCCTAATTCAATTTAAAACCTATAATCTCATTAAGAATGCAAGTTTATTATAATTTGAATGTTACAAAAATGTAATGAATTTGAAAATTCTCTTGTTATTACATAAATGCATTTATCACAAATGAGAATTATCACATTTGAAGATATTTTATATACAACTATCAAGATAATTTTATGTGAAACAATCATGTGAAAAAAATTATTTTTCTTTGCTTTGTTATCTTTCTCTGTTTAACTTGATTACTTTAATATTCAGTTTTTTAGTGACAATCTTTTTTTGTGTGTGTTTGAATATAATTCTTATATCTCTCTATTTTTTTAGGCTTTCGCAGGAAAAAGTTTATTTTCTGCAGTCAGCTTCCAGTCATTCCTGATTATAATTTGTTGTTAAAGAATGATAACTGAACTTAAAAATAGATTCACACATAAGAAGGAGGTAAAAAAAGAACTGTCTAAAACTCTAATTTTAGCTGTAAGCATAAAAGTACAGAAAAGAAAGAACTTATATATAAACATAAAACTACAAGTATTGGCTTGACTTTGAATACTGCCAGTCAGACTCTCTATGAGTCAGCAAGAAAGCCTCAGGATAATGTAGCATCAGTGAAAGAGTAGATTTTAGATAGAATTGAGCATTAACAGAATTTGCATTAAATAATATTTCACATGAATGGACTGCATGAAATATGTGTATAAACAAAGATGAGGATAATTCAAGAAAATAAAAGAAAATATTGAATATTAACAATTCATATCAAAATGTCAATTAAAAATCATTATTTTAACTTTTATATTCTGCATTGATTTGGTTATAGAAAAAGCAGTGTTAAGATGCCTATGACTAAATATGAGTTGTAGGATGTTTATTCCAGCCTCATACAGAGTTTGATATTGAAGCATCATTTATTAATTTCTTCCATCCCAATAGAATCAAGCTTAGCATAGAATAAATAGGAATGAGAAATACTAGTATATTTTAATATTTTTGATGGAATAATGTCTTCTATAGAAATAATGTAGGTATGTAATGTAGTTATTTATTAAAGTGCCAATATACTTTAATGGATTTTAGGGAACTTTATACAAATAGGTAGGTAGTAAAATATAAACAAGGCTATTAAAAATAACAGAGAGATTTAACCAGAATTCTGAAAATGAGGAGCTGTTGGGCTTCTTTAGAGACTGAGGTGGTTGTATATTTACCACTAATGCCAGAGATCAGTGTTCAAGCCCAGTTAAAAGCCAGGATTTCAAATGTGAAAAACAATCTTCTTTCCTATAGTCCTCTTTATTTGGCCTTGTGTCAGAATAATCTTAGAAAATATCTCTTTGAGAAACAACTACAAATAAAATTCCAAACTTAAATTTATGCAGTTCTTCAGGATTTTATGCAACAAATTTTCTTGAAAAGCATGTAAGTGGAAAACTGAATGTTAATATGCAATAAATCTATATAAATATATAAAAAGAGTTGATTGTAAAACTGAATTTATTTTTCAAAATCATATTTTCCATAAAAGCAGGTTAATTAGTTTCCTTAAAAAATGTTATTTTATGATGTAAACTTATTTGAAATTGTTAGGTTATATGTATTAGATAATTGTTTAACACATTGGTTAACACGAGTTAACTAGTGGTTTTCAGTTTTTATTATGATGCAGACTTGAAATTATCACATGCCAACTACGAGTTATAGTGTGCTTAGCATTTTCTGATACATTTTCATCTGTGGGCACCAACAAAAAGTTTATTCATAATGATATTTTTAGAGTGAAAACAAAGTTAAGACTTCAGTTGAAGCTATAAATCAACTCATAAAAGTTTTCTTGGTAAGTTGGCTATCATAAAGTTGGTGTTTGAAGTCAGATTTCATAATTCACCTCTGGCAGTCAATGTGTTAACATAATCAGAATTTAGATATTAATGTAACTTTTAATTTGAATTATATGTGTAGTCAAGTATTTCTGCTTGAGATGAGGATAAAAGTTCTTAATTTAGTAAATGAAATTGTAGCTTGTTAAATATATTTGATTTCTCCAAATATTTGGTAAAGATTTCACTTATATTTATTATTATCATAATATTTAAAAACACAACTTGAAGTAAATATAAATACACTTTATAGCTAAGTAAATAAATTAATGAATTATAATTTTATATATGTTTTTTTATATATAGTTTTATCTGATTTACGTAACAAAGTACATATTTGTTAACATGTTTGCATTTGCCTAGGAAAAGATCTGTATAAAAAATGAATCATTAGAAAGCTAAGTTAGTGCAATAATTGTCCGTCCAAAAAGAATATCGTAAAAATGTTCAATTTAGCATTGCCGTATATCAAATTCTCAATTAAGAATATAATGGATATTTGATTTTTAAGCAGATGTTGGTTAACCTATGACATCTGTTGCATCAGGATAGAGCAAAGTTTAATAAGCTAGCCTAGTAGTATTAATATTAATTAAGCTTAATTACTGAGTATATTGCCAATGTGATTCTGTGCAAGGCTAAGGTGACTTTACCAGATCTTTTTTCAGTTACTGGTCTGTTGTACTCTCTCTCCCTCACACAAACACACACACATAGTATAGTTATGTGTTTGTTGTGTATATATGTGTGTGTGTTCATACACACACACACACACATATATATATATATATATATATATATATATATATATATATATATATATATATATCAGAATAAAATGGTTCCCTAAACTTAACTGGACCTGTATTTGGAGTTTCTTGTAATGTTTTTACATCCAATCCTTGGCAGACTTCTAGAAGAGAAACTAAGTTTATTGTATTTATATATATATATATATATATATATATATATATATATATATATATATAATTTGTGTATTTAGGTAGCAAATTCTCTTTTAAGCATGTCTGATTGATTAAATTACAGATATTATATCTGCTAATTTTTAATAAAATCCTTTATACTCACGAATAACCTTCCATGTATTGATGTTAAAGGATAAGAGAAATGTGCTCTAGATGTTTAAATTTCTTTTATTTTCATTTCCCAAGTACTTTCAATCTTCTTCCAAGGTCATCTTCAGGGGTGCAAGTGGTACAAAACAATATGTTGTTCATTAGTATAAGTATTTATACAATGTTGTGCATTGTTATGTATTACTGTAATTTTTTCATTATGCTTTTAAATGCCAAACAGTTAACAATTTGCTGAGCATTCATTAGGACATGAAAAAATTATCTCTTATGGAATTTTTTCTCTCTATCTTATAATGTCATGGTCATGCGTGCATTAAAGCATAAAAAACTGTTCCTTTACAGGCATTTTAGAACATTACTGCAGAATTCATAGTTGATTCTGTTCAGTGCTGGCTTTAATTTTTTAATATAAATTGCTTCTAGTATCTGTAATCTAAATTTGTTGTTTTCATGGTGTAGGATAGTTGTGTTGTCAATTAGTAATTTTTTATATTGTGTATGTGGACAGGAATGTTGTAGATGTCTCGCAATGGACGAATGGTCAGACATGTGGACTGTAAGCCTTCTTGTTAGTGTATTTGTCATATACCCAACATATATATTTGTTTTTTGTCAGAGATACATTCTCCCAAGGTACATTTAAATTGGTATATAATGTTGGTTTTACATAATAACTCCTCCCCACTAACTGATGTATTATGGTAATTAATAATATAGTTAATAAATCATTTTGTTTTGATTTTCAGGTACAAAAAAGTAACATGACTTTCATTAGTATATGCAAATTATTAAGACTTAATTAATTATTAATTATTTAAATTTGTATTTCCTTCCTCCAGCGGAGTTAGTGGACAGTACCACCCTGAGAGAGAATGAAATCGTTCCTGGTGGAACTCTTAACCTTTCAGTTTGGTACATATGGCTAGAATTGGTAGAAAGAGCTATCATGGGTGACATACCAAATGTAAGTCCATCTGTATTCTATGTAGCATAAATTCTATATTTTTCTGGGTCTAGGTTGCTGACACTTTCATAATATGTTGTTCTGGAAAAGGCTTACAGATGTGAAATTAAGATGCCAAGCATTTTCTAACAATAATAAGTTTTACATGCAAGAATATCAGCTAATCAAAAATACCCTTTGACTGTTAAAAATCTATGATTTTCCCTCTCCAAACTGGCTAAATATTTCCAAAAGATACCCCTAAAATATAAAATTAAATAAATAAAGTATAAAGTTAATTTTTCTGACTAGTGTTTCTTTTGTCTAAATTTTTCTTGCTTATCATCACAACTAAAATTAAAATGAAAAATAGATGAAAATCCAGTAAAATTAAAAAGAAAATCAAGTTAAAAATATAAAATGGTTGTTTCTCATAAAATTGACCAGTTCCGAATTAAAAAGTAAAGTTAAATTTTTCAACTTTAGAAATCATAAACTCAAAATCTGTTCCATTTATTTTCCCTTTCTCAATGAATTTCTAATGAAAATATTTTTTACAGACTGCTTTACTTTTAGAGGTGATAAAACCTTTCAAGGATAAAATAATAACCTGAATAAAAACTCAAGTTAGTTGGGGATCAGTTACATAGATATGGAGAAGACTGAAATTTTATATTCTAAGTACCTCAGCTTAGTGGCAGTAATTTTTATAGCATTGTGTCTCCTATTATCTTACAATAAAAATTGGTCCATATCTGATCCTTAGATATTATAACTCACAATTCACTGAAATGAAGATTTTGAACTTTTGATCCAAATTAAAATACTTTGCTTTTTGAAATTTTTCTGACTTCTCAAAGTAGAGAGCTTTGCAAAGACAGAACATTTTCATTACAAATCGATTTAAAATAAATTATAGAATCAAATGGAGCAAATTTTATTTTTAAAAGATATAAAATTAAGCTTAAAAACATTATTTTATTTTTCTACCAGTGTACCTATGCCAGAAAATATTTTGTTATATTTTGTTAAGTCCTTACTATAATTAGGTTTTTGTATGTGAATCTTTAAATATATTTTCCTATTGTTATTGTACTACTCTTTTCTTTCATGGAGTCATTTTTTTTTAATTAGCTTCATAAACATCTTGAAAAAGTTTGCCATTATCGTTGAACATGCTGTGATCTGCCATTACCAGTGCAAGGGAAATAACTCCATCAGCAGAATGTTACAGTAAAATGTTTGCATATTATTTGTAAGATTCACAATTGGCAGGTTTCATGTGAAACAACCTAATAATAAAAAATATATATATAGTTCTACAGATGATTGTTGATCCAAGAAATCTTCAGAGTATTTTGAACTGAACTTTTTATTTAATCTATGGGGGAGATTGTTCTCATTTGCTAAATCTACCTTTAGTCAATTAAATAAATAAAGAGTTCATTTCAAAATTCCTTGGTGGTTACCTGGATTGACAACCACCTGATGAAGGCTGGAGGGCACAAAACATTATGGTAACAACAACAAAGATGAGGGGGGGGAGTCCATGTGTAAATAATGTAAATAATGATAACTCCACATCCCAGAAATTCAGATGGAAGTTCTGCAGAGTTAAATAAAGCATAATCACAAAAAGGTTATGGAATTTGATGTAGTAATTTTGAGTCTTAATTCTTTGTTCCTATCTAGTATTTTAAACCATAAATAGAATAATCACCTGTTCTTTGAAATAAGTTAGCACTGCATTGGGAGAGATTTTAAGTGTAAAAGGGAGACAACTTATTAAAATTATTGGATAAAAATTAAAAGAAATTTGATATGGCTCTCTTTTATATTAATGCAACTTTAGAAAATTTGAAGTTGAAATACTTGTTTCAAAGCAGAATTGGGTATGGTAATAGTAATAATAGCCGTTTTCTTATAAAGAAACATTTGGCATTCCTTAACCAAGCAGCCAGTGCTGTTGTTGGTTGAAAATCTTTCTCAATAATCAATTTTTCAGGAAAACAGGTGTCTCAAATTCAGTCACTGTTATCACGCTTTCCAGGATTGATGGGGGAGTGGGGGCTTCCTTCCTAACCATTTAAGGTTATTTGATTATTTTTTAAGTTAAAATTAAAATTTCCTTATCATCTTCCTTGGACAAATCCTTATTGACTATTTGAAAATTAAAGATTAAACATGTTTCAGGGCAAAGAATATAGTGCTTTCATTAATTTCTGTAAAAGTTTCAATTACTTTATTATCTCCCTTTGGCAAACCATAACCCTTTCCGGTGAAACTTAAAAGGATGCCTCTAATCTTGTAAATATTAATTTAAGATAAATCTACAGAAAATATAAAATTTGATTAAAATTATATTTGGTTAACATCTTATGATTTTTATACAATTATCCTTCACTTTTCTGATTTCCACTTAATCATAATTATAATTCTCAATAAATAAATTCAAATGTTTTATAATTATAAGTCTTTATAAATAAATTTAAATATTTTATAATTATTATTCTCCTTAAATAAATTTAAATGTTTTATATGTTAATATCATTTATGTTATAGAACATTTTTTTAGTAATCACTTTTTGCTTAAATATATAGCATTTCTCATGCTGCATTGTTTTATACTTAATTTTAAATTATGAAAATGCAGTTCGTTTATTTGACAGTCAATAAGATTCAGCCATTATCATGTTATTATGTTAACTTTTCCTAAGTATTGACTTCAATTTGCTACTTATTTCTATAAGGGGTTTACAAATGTGATTACATAATAATACCAGATATACTTTCAACTTGCATATTTTCCAGTTTGCTTCTTTATCTGTGATTGTAGCTTAATTCTATATAGGGCATTGTTCTTTTATTTCTCTCCATTTGTGACTTCATGGTGCTGTATTTGAGGGGATATTTGTTATACTTATGGGGATGGGTGCTATATTTGAATGAACGGGTGTTATATCTGAGTGGGTGGTTGCTATACTTAGGAGTGGGTGGTAAGTTTGAGTAAATGGATGTTATATCAAGGAGAACAGTTGCAATTACTTGGAGGGTATGCATTATCTGAAAGAATGGGTGTTTTATTAGTTGGTTTTGGTGGCCACAATCTTAGCAGCATAAGATATGCAAATGACACAGTGTTGATAGCAGACACAGAAAGGAAACTACAAGATTTCCTACAGAAGGAAGTGAAGGAAAGTGAGAAGAAAGGAATAAACATCAATTGCAAGAAGACAAAATGCATGATTGTTAGCAAAAAGAACAGCCCAATATGCTAATGTCAAATTGGAGATACCAAAATCAAACAAGTACCATAATTTAAATATATGGGAAGTATTTTGATAGAAGACAGAAAGTGCAACACTGAAATCCAAAGCTTCATTGGGATAGTGAAAGATGCTAAGCAAAGTATTAAGAAACAGAAAAAAATTCATTAGAAACAAAGAAAAGAGTACTGGACTGTTACATAATATCAGTCCTCCTATATAGCAATGAATGCTGGACAATTTCTTTACAGATGAAGAAAAGACTTGATGCAACAGAAATTGGGTTCTACAGAAGGATGCCGAGAATCCCATGGACCAAACATGGGAGCAACAATGAAGTTTTAGAGAAAATGGAAACATGATATGCCTATGCTTAACATCAGAAAAAGACAGTTGAAATTTCCAGGGCACATAATGAGGAAAGTAGGCTTGGAAAATTTGATACTCACAGGGTCAACTTGAATGCATGAGGGACAGATTAAAATAATGCATAACCTACCTAGCAAGCTTGAGTAAATGAATGGTGGAACAAGATTTAGGAGAGATAACAAAAACAAAATTTATTAAGAGCTACAAAGGACAGAAAATTGTGGAGAGCCATGATGACCAACACCCTGAAGGGACACAGCATAAAAAAACTAATTTATAATAGATTTACTCCCAAAATATCTTGCATAACTGATACTCATGAGTTTATTTTAATAATCACAAAGATATAAAATTACTTTATCAGTTTTCTAGAAACCAATACAAAATATCTTTATATCCATACAGAGTGTCTTACCTCAATATCTCTAACCTAGAATCAAATAGACTTCAGCAATGTCTATCAAATTTAACAGCTTGTAAATGTATGTCTATGTTTGTTTTTAATGTTTTACTTTATATTAGCAATAATGTTTGCTACTCTGGCCACAGCTGTAACATGGATATAATTAGCTTCTTTGATTTATTGATTACTGTAAACATATTTACTGAAATGAACATCAGCTGACTAGTTTAATAGCTTGAATTTTTTTTTATCAGACAATAATTTTTGCTTTTGTGTTATATGTTGCCATGATTGTTCTTGGGAGGTATAGTAGAATATTAATTGTAAGAAGACAGAATGCATGATCATCAGCAAAAGAGATAGACCAAGATATGAATTACATATTGAGGATGTCAAAATCAAGCAGCTACAGAAATTTAACTGAGTAGTATGATAAATGATAGAAATTGTAGCACAGAAATTCCTTTTGTCTTATATATATATATATATATATATATATATATATATATATATATATATATTTATCTGAGGATTTCAGATGGCATGAAACTCTGAGTTGTGCAACCAACGCAGTGTATTATGCATATTTTTTAATATATATATATATATATATATATATATAATTAAAAATGATATTCCTTACCTCATGATGCACAAGTTTCATGCACAAGTTAATCATCAGGCATCTCTCAACACTCACTGGGCAGCAATATTTCTTTGCTACACTTTTCCTTTTTTATTCAGTTTTTCTAATGCTAAGATTTCCTTTTAGAGGGAATAAGTGAGTGTAAATCACTTAAAATCACTTAAATTGTTTGTCAATGTTTCACTTAATGACACCAAAGTGGGGCCTATATATTTATTATGTTTATTACAAGAGTTACAGTCTTGTATAGGCAGCAAAATTGATAAACTACATTGATAATCTGAGGTTTGGATTTGAGAGGTGTGCTGTTATTGGAAATTATAGGAAAATTAATGACAAAGAGGAAAAAGATTTTTGTGTGACATATTTTGTTCTTTAGGTCTTCATCAGGTCAAAGTTATTTTTATGTTGATCTAACCACACATGCGTATGAAAGGGAGGGGATGCTGAAATTTTAAACTTTTAAATTAAAATTTTTTAATATGTGTTTGGGTATATAGTCACTAGATCATCCACAGTAAATTTGCATCCAGGTTCTTACATTTCACTTTCTATCTTCTATTATCACGCGCTTGGATATTTTTTGTTTTTTAAGCATTTCATCCCAAGCAAGGCAGGAGTGCCACTAGCATGCAGGGGGGTGGCTACAGAGAGTGAAAGTAAGGCAAAAGACTAGGTATAGAGGGGATTGAAGAAAGTTAAAAATAAGAATGGTGATCAAGATCAAGGCAATAGAAGATGTTGATTGACATTACACTTAAATTTTTGAAGATTATAGTTATCAGGGAAGTAAGTAGGTGGAAGGGAGTTCCATTGTCGGGAAGTGCAAGAGAAGGAGCTGTTGGAGTAGAAGAGGCAACTACATTTAACTGTTTCAACAGTAAAAGGGTGTGAGTGAGATGCCAACCTAATAGCACACTTGAATTCATGCAGTCGGGACACCAGTGAAAATAGCTCTTCAGAGCAGATACCATGAAAATATTTATAGAAAAGACAGAGGAAAGCCACATTACATCGGGGAGAAAATGACCATATATGGCAACAGTATTCCATGCATGAACAAATGGTAGATTTGTAGATGTAAAGGATGGATTCAGACAATGTAAAAGAGAAGACAACTTACCTCACATAGCAAAGAGTGCACGTATATGCTTGGCATGCAAAACGAGTGAAGGAAAGGAAAGGTAAAAGAAATATGGCCACCCTGACACCTTAATTTAAGAAAGACACAACCTCAGAGCTAGGCGAATTTGTGAGAGTGGGTGAACATATGGAAATTTTTTGCAAGATCAGCTGGGCATAAAAATCACAATGCAAGAGAGTATAGTTGAGTTTGTTTTTTGAATGCAGTGCTGCTTGTACAGAGAGACTTTGTCAGTTGGAAAGACATTACTTGGATCAATTTCACACAAACCTTCTGGCGTGATGCAGAGAACCAACTTTCCTTGTGGTAGATGCACAGCTATTGATTTAATATAATTGTTCCACCTCAGGTCAGTGGAAAACATGAATCCAAGAAGGTGCAGTGAGCCACCTCATGTGGAGTTGAGCATCAACCAGACTTATAGGAGGCAGGGAAGTTTCTCTATAGTGAGTAAATGACAACAGTTTCGTTTTGGATGCATTCAATTTCACAAGCAATTTCCTGCCCCAGTCAACCACAGATTGGAGTGTGTTTTTGAGACCAATGTCCAGGTTAACTTGGTCAGCAATGCCAGATTTACTATTGAGACAGGAGTAAATGGTAGTATTGTCTGTATAGATGCCTACTTGAGAACTGATGACATTAGGAAGATCATTGATGTAGATCAGAAACAGTGTAGGACCACGGATAGAGCTTTGAGGAAAACTCATATGAACTGGAAAAAAAACCTGGTCAGAACAACCTTCATTTCATGGTTAAACAGGAATGATTGGATTAAATCAAATAATCGTTCTGTAATACCATATCCCTGAGGCTTATGTAGAAGGCCAGCATGCCAAACCCTATCAAACACCTTTGATATATCTAAAGCAACAGCTCAAGCTTTGCTGTTATTATCAAGAGCTTGGTATATATATTCAGTTATGGCTGTATGCACATCAGCGGTAGTGAAATGCATTGTCTAATGATGCATTGCTTGGTTAATTCATCTTTATAATTTGTTGTACATCTGGTTGCACTAAAAGATATTAATGTTTTGTTGAACTGTATTTTTAATATTGATGCTATTTAATTTCTGTAGGAATAATTTTATTTGGCTATGTAGTTGGATAATTTGTTATGTAGAAGATATGTTATTTCCTAGATAACAATTTATCCAATGCTTTAGTTAAACACAAAAATAATTTCAACCATAAATTTAATCCAAAAATACTGTACTTATTAAAAGAGAAAATAAATTACTTAGATGAAGAGGTTTTGAAAGTGCAATTATCAATTCATGCTAAAATGTTAACCTACATCCTTAACTTTTTCACATATCTCCTTTCTCAAGCCAACATATATAACCATAAAAAATTTTAAAAATCAAAAGAAAACAATGAACTGAAAACCTTTAAATATTAAAAATAAATAAATTAATATATAAATAATTAAACAAAATAAAATAAATAAATAATAATTACATTAAAAAACAGAATTAAATTAAAATTCAAAAACTTTTTGTTTATTAGACAGTAAATTACATCAATTAGTGTCCTTCATAGTTTACCTTTCATAATACAGCAAGCTTTAAGAATATTTTAAAGTGTCCCCAAATTCATAATTTGAAAATTTAATCATGTTAATTCTGTGTATAAATAGGTTAAGAAATAAAATCTTCACATTAACATTGATAGTGTTCCTCAAGAAATGAAATACATTGGGATAGAAAAGTTTTCATTTTATTTTATTTTCATCTTATATTATATATATATATATATATATATATATATATATATATATATATATATATATAGGTACATCGATTAACTGACAACAGCATATTCTGAATGCTTATAATAGTCACCTAATGAAGGATGAAGAACTTAACACCCAAAATATACTTCAAAAACTCCTTTAGATTATCATCCTCATCTTTGTTGTTTTTATCACATTTCAGAAATAATGCTGATGAGAATGCTCAGCCAAAATAATTCATGAATATTACTAATGCCTCCATAGCATTTTCTCACTTTCCTTACATCTTAGTGGATTTAATACCTTGCTTGGGATGAAATGTTTTCAAAAAAATGCCTCATTTCAGGAAAGATTGTGATAAAAACAACAAAGATAAGATGCTCATTGAAAATAATATTTGAATCATGACAATGTTCTGTTTTTTAAAAGTCAAACAAAATCAGACAAAACATAAAGAATCATATGAAAACAAAAAATCATATGGAAAATTTTGTATGTAAAATTTTTTTTTTTAATTATTATGAAACTGTGTTATTTTTGTTAATTTCAGCTTCTGAAACTTGGGGTTTCTCCTATCATTCCTTTCTCTTCGCCTATAACTGAATATATGGATGAGAAGACAAAGTTGGCCTGGACAAGAAAAAAAGCCTTTGTGGTTCTGTGTATTGCTGCTAATCGAGAAAACTTACTTCTTTGCCAAGAGATGATGCCATGTAGTAAGGAACAAACATGATTTTAGATGTTTTCTGGACTCTTGTACCTTTGTCTTTATTGATTTTTTAAAGTTTGGTTTGGCTTAATTGGTTTTATAGCATATCAACCTGAATGTGTTATTTAATGCTGACAAAATTTTTATTGCTGGTACTATTTTGATTTTTCCAAAAATGGATTGCTGGTAATAATTTTTTTTCTTTAAAAATTCATTGCTGGTAATAATTTTTTACAAAAATCTATTGCTGGTATTAAAACCTATTTTTACACTTTCACCCCAGTTCAGGGGTTAACTATTTGCACATAGCAGGAGCCCTAACAGGTGCTACCACCCAGAGTAAGAGTGGCCCTGGGAACACCAGCAATTAAGACATGTTTTCATGCTCCTCAAAACCTCCTGATCAGAGGCTTTGCTGTTGGATGTAGTTTATCGCCTTACCCAGGATGGGTCAATTTTTGTCTGACAAAGTCTTTGACATAAAATCTTTGAACAAATTAGACAAGTCAAAGACTGGGAATGAGTAAAAGCATCCAAGATTGGTTAAAAAAAAGGCCATAATATTTTATAAGGCTGCATGTTTCTTTGGTTACCAGGAAAAACTATTACTGCTTAGTAGAGAGGTATTTGCTCATCTGCTGTATAACATGCTCAGATTACCATTTATTCTGTTTTTTACAGAATTCTTTTAATGTAAAATATTTGGTCTGGTGCTTCTGCTATGTATTTAGAAATTCTAGATAAAATACAAAGAAAAATCTGCAATGTTATTGATCCTGATCTGGCATCTCAGATTCATTCACTTTCCCATTGCTGTAATGTCATTTTCCTGTTCCTTTTCTATAAATACTTTCATGGTTACTGTTCTGATGAACTTTCCTCTTTGGTGCTTAGACTTTATGAATTTAAGCGCAGTAGTAGATTGGTGGCAAGATCTTGTTATTTTACAACTGAAATGGCTGCTAGGTGTAACCATCAGTTCTATGCTAATAGTTTATTCTCTCGCATTTCTCAATTATGAAACTCTCATTCGGCTTCTTACTTCCCAGTCAAAAATTTGAATGCAATGTCAATCATTATTTTCTGTCTTCTTAATTCATGTCCTTTTATTGTTCTCTCTCCTTAATAATGTTTTCTTTTTCTCATATTCTTCTACCCTTAGTAATCTGTGTTAGTGGCTTTTTTTGCTTTGCTTGGTGTGAAATGATTAAAAATATTTTTGTTTCCTGTTAAAAGCAAAAGGCACCTAGAAAGGTCCTTTTTTGAGATAAAAAATATTCTGGACAGTAAATAGTAATGCAAAATAGTAAATAAATATCAGATATATAAAAAAAAAAAAAAAAAAAACTCTTTCATCTTTACATTATAAACTGTTAAACTTAATAAACCAGGATAATTAAAAAGAGCAACAATAAAAATAAAAGTAATAAAAATTTTGAAATTGAGATTTATTGGATATCAAAAATGTAAATATTCAGCATCCATTCCTGTATTTTTTATTTTAATGTAAACCGTAGACAGTTTTTGTTTACTTGTCTCTTTTGTATATAAGAATAAGTCCATCAATAAAACTTTTCACTGAAGACATTCTTTTCATAACAAAGCATATCATAGCACAGTTTTCTGTGTTGGAAAATTTATGTGAAATTTGGGTGCAATGTCATTTTTAGCATAGTATTACTGATACAATCTTCCAATTTTCAATTCCTCTTGTATAAAACGCTTTGTAAACTTCAATATTAACAGTTTCCTGGTTTCAATCATTATTTTTCAGTTAATGCATTCACCAGCATTCCTCATATGCGTATAGAATTTGGTTTTTAAATAGAATCTCTTCTCTCATTCTCATTTTTATTTTTTGCTATTGAGTTTATGACATTTAGAAGCAGCTACTATAGATACAACACTACTTCATATTCTATATTTTTCATAGGTCATGGGCAAGATCCTGGTATTTTAAAACATTTGCCCTTTTTTTTCAGTTGCACTTTGTATTTTTTTTTCTAAATGCGTAACATAGATTTTTGTTTCTTGATTGTGTGACGTGATTGGATTCAATGTGGGGGCAAAAACTGCAAAATAATTATAGACAAAAACAACAGGATTCTGTTTGAATCTCCTCAAAGATTATTATTAAAAAAGTCATGTCCTGTCAAGAAGTGAAACTTCCACAAACTCCTTTGCTTTATCTTCTGTAAATTGTTAGTGCAAAAGATGGTGGAAGTATTTCCTGTTGCCTTCTCCCTCATTTTCAATTCAAAATTTTCCTTCTCTTAGATTGGTTGCCACCCAAGGCAAGAGAGTCTAGTCTAACCTGTTAACCAGAGCTGGGGAAAGAAGGGAGACATTCATGATTTTTCCAAAGGTATTTGTGTAAAAGTGAAATTTGAACTCATCTCACTGATTTCACTTTGCCTGCTGATATCCATTATAATCCCTAGATACCCTCCTTCAAGATTAATAGATGTATAATCCATCTTGAGAAAATTATTTTTTTATACTTACTATATTTTCTACTTACAGTAGAGAAAGTGAACATGAGAACACCAATTGGACGAACAGCCCTCCACATTGCAGCTAGTCAGGGAAGGTGTGAAATGCTTAAACTGCTGCTTGAGAATGGTATGTATTGATGATGATCTAATCAAACCTTTTTCTCATATCATTTCTTTATATTAAAAACAAAACCTTCACTACTTAGCAATTCATTTCTCTCTTTGGTCAATTTTTAAAATTTTGCATGAAGCATGCAATTTTAAGGCTGACTATGAAAATAACTTTTTGCTTGTTAGTTTTGTGGCATATCACCCTTATCTAGGTTATTTAGTGTTGAGTTCAATCATTTTCATGAATAATTTTATATCTTTAGATTTTTCATATAAGTCTATTAATAATTTATGAAGGATTGGAAGTTGTGGAGAGCCAACAATCACCCACAACCAGAAAGGACAGCACATAAAAGAAGAATTTAAGCAGCCTCACTTAAAATTTGAACTTGGTTTGTTGGTTCCATTTTCTATGTGAATAACCATGATGTCACTCCACATTTCCATACACTGAATAATAGGTTTTGTATGCTTTGAGAAATGCAATTTGTTTAATCTCTCATTATAAAAGCCAGTGTATATATCAAGCTACATTTTTGTTCATATTTAAAAGTTTAAACCAAATATTGTTTTCATATTTTCATACAAAACCCCAAAATATGTCTAAAATGGTATAAAAAATTACTTGTGTGTACTCCAAGTAGATTTTTAACTGTTTTTAGAGTTTAGTATTATACTGAAATTAGCTTTGCCTCAAGCTTACACCAGACCATCCAAGGAAGTCAAGTGCAGTGTTGACTTGGGTTATTTCCAAACACCAAATGCAGAAGTATGTTACCTTACACCTGCATCCAGTATTGCAAGCATGAGGACAAGAATATTGGATAGATGGATATATAAAAAAACACCTCGCAGATGATTGGGCATTTTCTCAAACATTGCAGACATAGAATATAAGTTTTATATATTGCAACACAAACTGACTGAAAGTAACCAAATAAATACTGGGATGAATAAAATGTAATGTGATGAAGATACAAGTATCATGTTATCCTTTTTTTCAGCACCCCCTCACACCTCATCACAAGAGTTTCTGTACATGAAGTTGGGGGTTAATAAACTAGGGGATCAATTTTCTATTGTTTTTAAGTAAATGGAATTTTTATGAAAACTTTAAAAAGTATAGCAATAATTTAAGTAAATTTAAATAGTACATAACTAGTTGTAAATAGAATAAAAAATTACATTTGCCAACTTAACTTAGGTTTGGGGTCAGTTGGGCAAGATAGTATGATGCTGAATGACCTAAAACTAATAATAAACCCAGTATTAAGATGTACTGATCATGCATCCCAATACATCTTTGCAATTGTTGCTGAGGCTGCTGCTGATTGTTGTTGGTGATCTAGTTTTGACAGTCAAATGAAGACTGCTAATCACCTTTAAGGGAAAAGGGAAGGTCATGTTTTGGCCAACAACAGACACAGGGGAAGCAGATTGTAAATGACCCTTTGCATGCTTCAAACAAAGAATAAAACAGTATTGTCAAGCAAATTTGAATAGAATTTAATAACAACAATGGTGACAATTAAATGAAAGAGAAAAGGTGTTCTCAGAAAGGTTAAAGAGAGTTCATAAAAAGTCTAGAGAAATAGAGTTCAACAAAGCAAATGTTCATGTATATACAGATGTGTGTATGTGTGTGTGAATGTGTGTAATATATGTAGGTATGAAGATATATATGTGTGAGAATGTAGGCATATATATTTATGGATATAAGTAACTCACTTATGTTACAAGATGAGATCTTGCCCTGCTTCGATAAACGGAAGTTACCATCACGAGTCCCCGACTTGAAATGAAAACTGCACGTCTACGCATAGGCTCGATGCAGATACTTCCGTTTGGGATAAATTCAAAAAAATGAAAAGAATTAAATCAACCAATCGGACCGTCTCCCGCGTATTCAAAAAATTGCCATTTGGAGCCAATAGGCATGTATAAGTTCAACACGGGAAAGTCAAAAGGAGTCCCATTCAACGGCAGAGGCTGAAGGGTCACGTCGCTCGCTCCTGACACACTGGCCCGGCGACGAAACGAAGCATGTGACCGCTGCTGCTAATGAACTCTTGTCCGACGCCTTGTCAAAGGGTACCTTTCCCCTTCCATAAGTCAAGTTAACTCCACAAACTTTACTTGCCACTACCATAGACATTCAACTTCTTAAATACGAACTTTTTACTTGTTCTTATTTTCCTCACTAAAAGAGACTATAAAATATATCTAGTCTTTCTTGTTCTTTCGATTCTGAATTTCATTGTTTGCAACCAAACGCAGTATTTCGCCCACATTGTTTTCACATCGTACACGATACATCTAAATACGGAATATAACACTGGTGTCAAGTGTACAGCGAAACAATGGAATACTCAGGCCTCTCTCGCTCAGAGATTCTGGAACTCATCAAGCAACAGAAAACAGCGATTCTCCAAATGAAAATCGACATGGAATGTGCTGACAACCCCCAAACACAATCGATCATTAACGAACTAAAAGCAGACCTTCACGAACTTTTAGCCGCTCTGCAGACTACCACACATGATCGCTCACACTCACCGCGATACGCCACAAACTACGAACTATTAATGCGACAGCAATCACTTCAGGACGCTACGAAATCCATCCAGGCAATGACGTCAACCGCTTTATCACCGACTTCAGCAAAGGTTACACGATACACGTTAAGCCAGAGTTGTGCGAATACCCCAAGATGGAGAAAGAATTCGTCAAACTGGCAAAACAACTCCTTAATGAAGGCATCTTCCAGCAGATGGAAGACTCAAAACAATCCACAGCCACGTTCGAGGAACTGAAAACTTACCTCATCTCCACCCACGGGAACCAGATGACGAATTTCCAACATCTGAGGCGGGCATGGGACCTCCAGCGCTGTGAGGGGGGAGAAATTCACTGATTTTGCAGGCCGACTTGAGAACACAATCTGAGAGGCCACAGTCCACATAAAGGCGAGATTCAAGTTGGACAAACAAAATGCCGAGATGACGGCCGACACCGCTTTCTCCCTAATGAGGGCCATGCTCATGAGCGAAAGGATCAAGGCATGGGCACCCAACATTTATCCACACCTCGTCAAAACCATGGATAGACACTACTCAGTGGGCGGTATTGCCAGCGACGCGCAACGCTTTCTCGATTGCGGCATCAAAACAGACATGACTACCTCCGTTGAAACAACCGCATTGATTGCGAGCCAACCAGCAAACTCTGGCAAGCCTCACAGCCTTGAAAGTGACAGAATACTAGCCGACGTAAAGCGACAATTGCTGGACCTGAAGGAGCAACTACGGCAGGTGCACAGGCACAACCCAACCACTATTAACAGGAACAATCAGACCGGCCCTTCCTCCAACATGAAATACAGCCGGACGCAAAGAGGCACTGGCCAATCCGGCCACCCGGCAGTATGCAGAAACTATCTACAAGGCCGTACATGCTTCAAGGGTAACAGATGTCCCTATTTTCACCCTCCCCACGCTCAAGCTCACATAGCGACCACTGATACCACCTTACCCTGAGCAGACAGTGATCCACACAACGCTGAGCACTCGACATGCTTCAACAAACTGGATTTTCAGCAGAGACCGAAGGTCGCTGATGCATTCTTCGCTTTCCACACCACTTCCACCATCCCTGTTAAAGAGATCGCCGACCACATGGGTATTGCGGCCGAACAAGCCTCTGATGATACACTTTCAAAAATCATCAGAGCCCTCCAGTCGACAGATCCAAGACCTGACACTACCATACTTGACTCCAACGATCACCGCACTGCACTTTTCCACAAACTCATGCATCAATTCTACTTGGAACCGAGAACGTCTGTACTAATGATCAGGGATGCTGCGAACACACCCAAGCTGGTGGTACCTTACAAGCTCCGCGCAAAATATCTCCACCAGGCTCATGACTGTGTAAACCACTCTGGAATCAGCCGCATGCAGGAACACCTATCCAGTTACTGGTGGGAATATAAAAATTGCGACATCAAGGCTTATGTCCATTCATGCCAAACCTGCGCTAAACGTAAGGGGAACTACGGCAGGCACACAAACTGGCCCATGGGCCATTGTAGGCGAGGTGGAAAACCATTTGAGGTTGTCTACATAGATTTTGTCTCAATGCCCCTCTCGAAGGGTAAACGGTACATCCTCACTATCTTAGACAGCTTCAGCCGACATCTCATGGCCATACCATGTGCTAGAGACCGTGCAATCGACGCAGCCCGCGGGCTCTACCAGTTCTTCCCCCGTCATCGGGAGATTCCCCGCATCGTGTCCTCCGACCGAGGAACCCACTTCACCGGCAAGGTCTACAAGGATTTCTGCGACCTAACATCGATCACTCGGGAACTTCACTGTCCATGGCAACCATAAAGTTCGGGAAACATCGAACAGCAACACCGGACCCTCAAAAATGCCCTCTACATCATCTGCGAAGATAGAAACTGTGAATGGACGGATGTCCTTGAATCCGTAGTTTCCTCCATGAATGCCACGGCCAACACCGCCACCGGCGCATCTCCACATTACATAATCACTGGTCGTCAACCACATATCGGACTACCAAAGATACCACGTCAAGATATCATCAACAACAATCCTGGTGCTTACGGCATGCAGATAAACGCCCTGTACACCAAAGAGTTGCCCTGGCATACAACGAGGCTGACCACAGAATGGAAGCCAAACTGAACCATAAGATTTTCAAGGACCCGATACAGGTCGGTGACAAGGTGCTACTCTACCGACCTCAGTCCACAATAGCCCACCCATCACATCTGCCTTGGATAGGCGACTTCGAAGTCACCAGAACTAACGATATGGTGCAGCAAGTCAAAAACAAAAACGGCGAAACCGATTGGGTCCACCGGGGACATATTCGTCGGCTCGTACCGTGACCAAATCACTTGCAATACATGAGCCGGTCACCTCCACCCCCACCCCCATCTCCGCTCCACCAAATCCCCGTAACCCGTTGACACAGCCTCCTACACTTTCGTCAGGGGAGCATCATATCACAGATGACTGCAGTTCCGCAATAATAGCCAAAACACAGCAAAACGTAAAACAAACGGGCAACTCCCAGCACGCTTCAAGACTTCGTAATGGTATAAAAAAAAAAAAAAAAAACATTCACTCGCACACACCAACAACATTACTAACAAAACATCAAATCAGGGTAAGATCTGGGAGAGCTGTTACAAGATGAGATCTTGCCCTGCTTCGATAAACGGAAGTTACCATCACGAGTCCCCGACTCGAAATGAAAACTGCACGTCTACGCATAGGCTCAATGCAGATACTTCCGTTTGGGATAAATTCAAAAAAATGAAAAGAATTAAATCAACCAATAGGACTGTCTCCCATTGGTTGGTAGGAATTACATGATGTGTTTACGAAGACATCTGTGTGAGGGTAACACCAAATTTTCTTTTATCTGTCTATTTTGAGACTTGATGAAATTGTAGTTGTAGAGAAATTTGAAAATATATTTTTTTTTTAATTTTTTTTTTTTTAAATCATTTCACCTCAAGCAAGGCAGGAGTGCCACTAACATGCAAGGGATTGCCGAGAGTGAGAGCAAGAGTAAAGAGGGATGTTTGAAGAAAGGATATAGAGAAGGATGGGGATAAGGATCAAGGCATCAGAAGATGTTGATTGGAATTACATTTGAAGATTATAGCTATCAGGGAAGCAAGTAAGAGGAAGGGAGTTCCACTGTCAGGAATTGCAGAGAAGCTGCTGTTGGAGTAGAAGAGTTGGTTACATTTAACTGTTTCAACAGTGAAAGGGTGGGACTGAGATGCCAACCTAGTACCAAACTTGAATTCATGCAGTTGGGGTACCAGTGGAAGTAGCTCATCAGAGCAGTTGCCATGAAAATATTTGTAGAAAAGACAGAGAGAAGCCACACCACATCTGTGAGAAAGTGAATGTCAGATCAGAACCTATCATATTGCATATCTGTCTGAGACAGGAGTAAATAGTAGTGTTGTCTGCATAGATGCCTACTTGGGAACTGATGACTTCAGGAAGATTGTTGATTAAGATCAGAAACAGTGTAGGATCCAGGATAGAATCTTGGGAAGCATCAGCATTTGTATGAAAGGAACTGGAGAATAACCAATTTAGGACAACCTTTATTTCACGGTTTGACAGGAATGATTGAATTAAATCAAATAATCATCCAGTAATACTGTATCCCTGAAGCTTATGAAGAAGGTTGGCATGCCAAACCCTATCAAATGCCTTAGAGATATCAAGAGCCACATCTCGAGCTTTGCCATTATTATCAAGAGCTTAGTATACAAATTCAGTTATGGTCATGAGCATGTCAGCAGCAGACCGAGTAAAATGGAAACCATATTGTTTGTCAGAAAGTAGATCATGGGATATAACATACTTAACTGCTTTGGTGTTGATTAAAGCCTAGAAGACTTTGCTGAAGAGTAGTAAGAGACTGATATGATGGTAGTTAGATGGGTCAGAATGGCTTCCAGAGTTCTTAAAAGCAGGAACAACAGATGAGGACTTCCAACAGGCTGGAAAACAAGACTCAGTGAGGCAATAGTTATATAGTTTGGAGAGACCTGGAGCCAACTCAGGAGCACATTTCTTTAGGACTACGGCTGGTATCCTGTCACCACCACTTATGAGAGTCTAATTCAGAGATGATGTCCAGTACTATCGACGAGGTTATTCTCATCTCACTCAATAGAGCCTCAGCTCTAGGGGAAATATCAGGTGGGTACTCCAGATGAATCAAATGTTGAATTGGATGAGAATTTTTGAAGAAAGCATTCAGCCTTATCAGCTGAGGAAGTTAGGACTTCAAGATAATTGAATAGAGGAGGTATTGTGGATTTGCTGTTGTTCAGCACACTCTTGCAGAGATGCCAATAATCTTTAGAATCAAACTTGTGAGATGCAATACATTGTTTCATTCTATTAGCAAATAGTAACTTGCTTCATTGAGGACACACTTACGGGCAGAGACAGAGAACCATCTGTTGCAATCAGACATGTCACTTTGGTACAGACATGCAAGCAGCTGAGAACCAAGGAGATGAACATGGTTTAAGTTTATATTTTCTTGCTGGGATGAAAACCTTAAGTGAAGGCTTTTACCCAGGAGGAGCACCTCAGATGCACATTTTTGAATGGGGTGATTAAAAACCACATCCCAGTCTGCTCATTGACAACAGAAAGATATTCTGTTAGTAGGAGGTTCATGGCTGAGTAGAAGGAGATGTTAATAGACACTACGGTATGATCAGAGTTGCCAAGAGGGCAGAGCTGCATAGCACGACAAGAGTCAGGGATGGAGGGAAAACAGAAATCGAGAAGGGAAGAGTTATCATCATGGTTACTGGGGAAATGTGTAGGAAAATCAACCACTTGTGTGAGAGATTGTTAAAGGTTTGTATGCCAGTGAGGTCAGTTACAGAGTGTATAAGCCACATGGTATGGTGGGCGTTAAGGTCACCAAACACGAATATGTGCACAGATGAATGTAGAGAGATGGCCTTGTCTATATTATCAGAAATGCTATTGAGTACACCACAGTCTTGAGACAAAGGGGAACAATAGAGATAGCTTACTGAATTGAGGAGAGATAGATAGAGACACATATACAAATGGTCTGGAGATTTAAGAGAGAGTCCCCTAGCCAGCAAGAGATGATCACAGACATAGACTCCCAGGCCATGCATGTGGATTTTAGAGTCCTTTCTAAGGAGAGGGAGAAAGCCAGGAATCAAGAAATCAGAGGACAGGATTGATGAGTTAAGGCTAGTCTCACAGAGAGCTAGTATATCAGGAGACTTTTCAAAAGGTAATGATTCAACATTGCAGAAGTTGGTACAAATGGCATGGATGGATGTTGGAGAAGGAAATGTTAAAGAGTTTAGGTGTTTTTTTTGAGCTGGTTCAGGCTTATTTTTTTGATTGTTTATGGTCATGTTGAGTTATGTTGGTAAGGAAAAGGCCTAAAGTAATAATAGATGATCATCATATGTAACATGGACAGAAAGCAACTGGTGCAGACTGCAACATAGGGTTGCTCACTGGAAGTGTATGCAGGGACACCTTCCATGTGTAACATGGCACTGCAAGAACTCTGATATTATGCAACTACTGGTCAGAGCAGCCTCTCAAGATGCTACACAAGAGTTTGGGTTCCTAACTCCCAATCAGGAGCAGCAACCAGAAAACTAACCTAGTACCATCAGTATGAAGAGACGTTGCCACCAAAAAAAAAAAAAAAAAAAAAGAATTAGTAGTACCAAAAAAAGGAATAGGTAAATAAATTGATTAAGAATGAAATTCAAAGAGATACATACAAATAAGACTGGAAACAATATACTTTTTTCATGTGGCTTTGAGGCTGTTTTAATGTCAATTTTTGTCATCCAAACTTTGATTATACCATGAATGACATCTGTCAGCAGAAAAATTTAAACTCTGTAATTAAAAATTTAAAAATTTGATAAAAATTAATAAATAATTACTTAAAATGAATTTTGAAAAATATTTTATTTTACTTAAAATATAACAGAAAGACATTTGTTTACAGCAGGTGTCTATTACCTCTCAATTCAGTTCAAAGTTCAAGTGGGGTCGGGGGTTCAGTCATCTTTCTGTACATAATCTATATGGATTTATTTTGTGAGTCAGATGTGAAGCTCACACCCACTGTGCAGAGAGCAACATTTTTATTTTTACTTTCTTCATTCCAGATGAGAGGTTTTAATGTAGAATGAATCAGAAAGAGATCTAGTTTGAAGCAGATTATAACATCAGCAATTATGAAACAAAAATGAGTATTTACTATATTCAACAATTATCTTTAGAATAACTCAGCAAAATCTATTTTTAATAATATATCTGAAATTTCAAATCATTATCTGAACCACAAAAGTAGAGGTATCAATTGAAATTTGTATATTTGTGGAAAGCCTGTCCCTCCTTGCCTAGAATAGGGTTAACTGGTAAAATAAAAGATGTTGACATAATATAGTTCCTTATTCTAATCATGCATGTTATTTAAAAATCTTTAAATTCTGTTTCAGGAGCAAAATTGAATCTTACAGATATTGATGGCTTCAAACCACTTGACATAGCCATTTTGTTTGGTCGCCAAGAAGCCGAACGTTTACTTTTCATGGTGAACTGGAAAATGAAGATGGAACGAGCACAGGCTGCTACAAAGAAGAGAGAATTGCTCAGTTGTAAGAACCATTTTTAAATAGTGCAATTACTAAATTATATGAATGTCAACATTTTAACAGTCTGTTGAGTCTGTAATAATCATATCATAGCACTTATGAATTTTAAAAAAATATTCCTATCTCCCAGCTCTTATTTATATTCCTATCTCCTCCACACTCATTTATTTCTAGACTAGTCACAGTGTCTTCAGATTTTTCCACCTACACCACTGAATATCAGATTTTGAAAAAATTCCAATTCCCACCTTATTCCAACCCGACCCAAGATTACTATCAAATTTATTTCTTCAAAATGCCAAGGAATCAGAGTTAAAGTGAGAGGTTTCATGATGTGAAGTTTTGAAATTCTACAGAGATTGTGATTTGAAAACTCAATTTTCGGCATGAGTTGGAATTTCAGCTCAAATTAAAGTTTTGGCCCAAGTCAGACTTTCAACCCAAATGGATCGTTTGGCCAGAATTGGACTTATAGCCTGAGTTAAAATAAGGTTTTGAAGTTCTATGGAGTGAATTGAGGAATTCAAAGTTATTTCTTCAAAATTATCATCAATGTTTTCTAAGTTGGACCAGAGGTCCCTTTGGTCCCTTTCACAGGCGCTAGCTTAAAAGTCTTTTAAGCTAGTTATTGGATAAATGTGTGCATAAGCTAGTTATTTGATAAACGTGTGCATATTTTCATCTCTCTTAGATTTTGAATAAATTCTGTTCATCTGAGGGATTGCCATTTGTTACAGGAAATTAAATTTATTATTATTAATATTTGTATTGATCTGGGTAACCGACAGGGAATTCTGAACTGAACTCTTTATTTAATCTATGGAGGTAGACTGTCCATGCCTAGGGATATCTTATCTAATTCTTATTTTTAGTCCACAGACATAGACCATGAAATGAGGTTTACCCCTGTTGATTAAATAAAGGGTTCAGTTCAGAAATCCCTGTAGGTTACCCAGATCAATACACACCTGATGATAGCAACAGCAAAGATGAGGTTAATTGTCTGAATATAAATAGTGTAAATAATGATAACTCCTTATCTCAGAAATTCAGACAGAAGTTAAATTTGTTAATTTCTGTTTTAACTTGTTTATGTGAATGTTATTCAATTTATTTATATATTTTTTTTAGCATATGGCTGTTTCTCATGTGAGGATATTGTTTCTCTGAAGATTCTGCTCCATAAGTTTGGTATTTTCAAAAAGAATTGCTGTTTTTTGTGTTGGATCAGTGTCAGATGATTTTATGAACTCTTGTAGTCTGGAAAGATGTGGGGAGAATTTTAGTGTATTTTATGAGTGCTTTTGTAGACTATTTTTTCTTCAGTGCAATTTAAAATAAACTTTTTCCTGTTGCACTGAGACTATGTCAGAGTAGGTAGTTCCTTATGTTTTCATAACATGAACATAGGTGGTCCTTCCAAAAAGTGATAAAATGACTGATATGAAATATCCAAAAAAAACAATATCCTTACATTTTTAATTTTAGAATCATTTTTTCAGAATTTTGATGCCAATTTTATAATTTTTTTCCTTCTGATTTAAGCTTCGAAAAAAGAAGAGTCAGTTACTGATGACATTTTACCAGAGTTAACATCAGAAACTCAGTAAGTGTTAGCAATTATTTGATCTAGAATCAGCTTTTTACTTGGTTTTTGATTCAGTGGATCTATAGTATATGTGCAGAAGAAAAACAAAAGCAACAAGTCAGTAAGTACTTAGGTTTTTGTGATTCTATTTCTGTTGCTAGCTGACTGAACATATATACATACACACAATCACATGTGTGCAAACATGCATATACACACAACCACAAATATGTATATACAACAGAAATCTGGAACTTAAATATAAGGAAGCAATCATTCTTCTTTATTCATTTTCCTTTTGTTGAGATACTAGCAGATTCAGAATATATTGTCTTCCATGAGAGAAAAGTTATTGAATTTTTCAATCAAAATTCAAATCAATCTAACTCATAAAAACTCAGTCAAGTTGTAGTACAAGCATATAAATCCCAAGTCAATATTTATAAGGATTTTCTCACAAGCCAAAAAATTATCAATTAACATCTCAATAAATAAACAATAAAAAAGTACTCTTACTGAGTGTGAAATTGAAACAGAAAGAAAATTGTTTATTTACAATAATTTATGTGCAAAGGAAGGTAAGTGTAGGGGAGTGCTCAAAATATTCTTTTCAGTGTCGAAAGAAATTAAGCTAGATAGAGATAAATGTTCATAAAAAGTGCAACAGAAGTGATAACATTCCTTGATAGAGTGTAAAGAATCAGTGAAGTTCATGAGGTATAGTCAGATATTGTTGAGCCATTCAGGTGTCGATAGGACAACACTGATGTGGAAGCATCCACTTGTTGAATAGAAGGCATTACAGAATGATTGTAGTTTGTGGAAAACTTTCAGAAGTTGGTACTGTTTTGTATAATTATAATTGAAAAGAGAGAGTTGTTTTGTATCTTCAAGAAAGATTTGGTTTGCTTATGGGTTTATTTCAGATAAACATGTCCAAAATTACCTGTTTTTAAGTTTTTGTATGTTGTCCCTGAGTTCTTTGCAAGTCATGGATATCTCAGAATTCAGCATCCACTTCTCAACTCATTGCTAAAGTTTGTTGCTCTGCTGTCTTCATCTTTCCTGACTACTCATACATGAACAGAATTGTGACAAATAGTGATTAAGCTGGCTTCATATTGTGCTAGCCAGCTCAATTAACTACTTTTCAAAATTGTTTCAGGTTTCAAATTTTGTCCTTTTGATTGGTTGGAAATAATCTTTTCAAACCTTTTTTATTAATCTGTATCAGACATAATCAGGCTCAGAAGCAAGGCTTATCAAAAACATCCCATCTGAACAATTCATTGATTGAAGTTGTCTTCACTCTAATGTTTGTCATTTTCAATATATTTATGGGAAAATATGATATCAATTATGATGGAAGATCTGCCAAGTCATGTCAAGTTTCTTATGGCATTTCACTTTTCTTGGCAGATTTTATACAAAAAGAAAAAGAAAGTAAATGAAATCAGATAGACTATATACTCAAAACACATATTTAAAAAAAATTTTTTCTTAATTTAAATTTAAAATTTCACCATCCCCACTCATTCATGCATTTATGTAATCATATCAACATAAACATCACTTTAGTCCAATGAAGTCCCAAAGGACATAGATTTTCCTAAAATTGTTTTTGATGCATAAAAGTTTATATATCATTTTCCCATATATATATTGAAAATGACAAACATTTTATGTTGATTAATTTTAATGATTGTTTTTTTTCCAAATTACAAATAATTTTTCTCAAACACGGAGGAAATCCCATCAAAAATTGTCCAAAATTCATTTTGGAAGAAAATGTAAAAGTAATATGGTCCAAGCTTTTGACTTTCTCAAATCATCATCAGGTTAGGTAGAAACAAATTTGTGAGTTTAATAAAATTTTAGGAATGGTGTTATGACGCAATTTTTTTTTAAAATAAGCTGTTAGTCTTTAAACTAACAGCTTATTTTAACTAACTATTTATTTCAACTTATTTAACTAACATCATAACTTCATTTCTAATTTTTTTAAGCTCATAAATTTGTCTCTACTATCCTGATGATGATTTAAGAAAGTTCAAATGTTAGATCATATTATTCTTATTTTTTCTTCAGTAATGAATTTTGAACAATTTTTGATGGAATTCCCTCCTTGTTTGAGAAGGATTATTGATAATTTGGAAAAGACAATCATTAAAATTAATTGACATAAAATATTTGTCATTTTCAATAATATTTGCCTTAAAGAACATTTGCTACATAAAGCGGAGTCCTTAGAAAGGTAATAGTCTATTTCATGGGATCAGGCGCCCATCTCTTCAGACCAAAATATTACAAATTTTTAAATTTATCCAGACTCAAGAAAAAAAAGAAAAAGGGCGGAAGAGAGAGAAAAAAAGAAAAGGAAATAGTTTCAAAACTAAGAAGGAAAGACAGAGATTTCAAAATAAGTTTTTTTTAGGGGGAAGAGAAAGAGAGATAGATAGATATTTCAAATCTCTGTCTTTCCTTCTTAGTTTTGAAACTATTTCCTTTTTTTTTCTCTCTCTCTTCCACCCTTTTTCTTTTTTCTTGTGTAAGGATAAATTTAAAATCCATTTATTTTTGTAAAATTTTGGTCTGAAGAGACGGGTGCCTGATCCCATGAAATAAACTATTACCTTTGGATTTCTAAGGAGTCCACTTTCACTATTATATTTGCTCTGTTTCACATTGTGCCCTCTTTCGATTTATATCCTCCTTGGAATTATCCCTATTAATTATCAAGTAATATTATATATATATATATATATATATATATATATATAGGGGTTTTCCAATTCTATTTTCATAAAATTTTATAAAAATAAAAAAGATTCTTTAAACCACTTATAACCTATAAAGATAATGTTAAAAATTCACACACCTCATATTTTCATATTTTTAACCACCCTTGCTTGTTTAAGATCTGAAATGCATCTTAGAATAGATATCCAAGCCTATCATTTTATTATATAATACTTATCATCAATGAAAAACTCATTTTTGCTTTTCTCTATTTTTTAATTAATCATTTTTATTTTATTTACCATTTTTGCAGTCACACACTCTCTTTATTTTGTTACAGGCTTACTGCTCCTGATATATTACCATTTTTGCAGTCACACACTCTCTTTATTTTGTTACAGGCTTACTGCTCCTGAGATATTACCATTTTTGCAGTCACACACTCTCTTTATTTTGTTACAGGCTTACTGCTCCTGAGATATTACCATTTTTGCAGTCACACACTCTCTTTATTTTGTTACAGGCTTACTGCTCCTGAGATATTACCATTTTTGCAGTCACACACTCTCTTTATTTTGTTACAGGCTTACTGCTCCTGAGATAGACAAAGCAAAAGTCATGAAAGATGAGCTTCAGATACAAACTGTGCCTAAAACTCCTGTTATTACAGCCAAGTAAGTCTATGTTAAAACCTTTGTGGCAATATTTTCTAGTCAAGAACAGTGTTTGTGTGTCTATTCATTTTATGAGGGTGGACTGAAAAGTTCATAGGCTGACTATGAAGGAGTGATGCTAGAGATGTGAAATCTTGCATGTATTAATTCCAACTTTTCCTATTAATAACTGCATTGTAAACTGACATCTGACTGTTCAAAGAAGACTTCAAATGTAATTAGTAATCACTTCTCTTGAAAATGGACATTCATGCTGGCATAGTTCCTACATTATGGGTTGGCACTCCATCTCTATCAACAGTGCAAAAGTGGGCAGTTGTATTTAGAAGAGGAAGGGAGAGATGACCTGTCTGAACATCCTGCAATTGCCTGCACCAAGGAAAACATTAATTGTGTTCACCACATGGTGATGGATGACAGGCGATTGACTATAAATCAAATAGCCAATGTTATTAGATCAAAAGGTGCAGATTTTGCCAGACAGCTTGAAAGTATTTAATGTGGGGTCCTCAATGATACAGGGTCTGTAGCATTTTTTACTTTTGCTACTTAGTTAAAATAATGCTGTAGTAGGTAAATCTCTGTAACCCCTTCATCAATTACACCCCTCCTAAATCATCTTTGCATTGTCCTGTCATCAATATTAATACTATATCATTTTTACTCAAATAAGGGCCTACAGTATGAGTGAGCAGTTTAAGTGGCACCGGCTGTCAGTTTACATGCTATGTAAGTGTGTGGCATGCATATATATTTATATAGATAAGACAGATTAATAACAGAGTTTAGAACAGGGCCAGATTAAGCTAGTTGTGGCCTGTAGCATATGTTATAAAGCGGCTCTAAATTGAAAAATTACAAATAAATATTAAATCTTACATTATTTATTAGCAGAGTAATAGATCTTTTAAAGCAGATAAATATGTAATTTCTAAGAAGATAGACAAACCTAGAAAATTATGACGTAAATGATTCTAATGAGATTGTAGCGATATTGTTACCAATATTTAACTTTGGCTAGGAAAGGTGGGATTAAGGACAATGCGTGGACGCAATGCAATTTATATTTGACGTAAAATAACACATGGTATAAAATACAAAACTGAACATAATGATTTCAAAACATAACAATTGAATTTATTAATATTTGGTATACATGCATATAAGCTGAAGGTGTGATAGAGTTATGTCTCTTAGATTTGGAAATATTTGTATTTGAGCTCATAAAGTGAAAGTAATTATTAAACTGTAGTTTAAGAAGAATAGCATGTTTGGAATTGTGTATTGTACAAGTTGGTAAAAGTTCAGAAGAGATTTGAGAGTTCGTACTTGTGTAAATGTTGGTAATGGTCTTTAACGCCTGACTGCAAAGGTTAAGATGGGACTTCTTGAAGATTACATCTTGGTACTTGGTAGCAAGGAATGAGATGCAAGAGAGAGATGAATGAAAAGAAACTCAAGGAGCTTACACGTGTTCTGTTTATATATCATCGTGAATCACATGACTGGCTCAGATGGAAAATGCAGTAAAACAGATTTGTCACATGCAGGTGGTTTGATTGGTCGGAACTGACCAATCAGCAAGCTAGATTGAAGGTGATTGACCAATGAATGCTTGTTATAAATTTGTAAGATGGTGATGGTGAAAATTATAACAGGAATAGTGCATTTCCTAGCAGGGATTAACTAGCTTGTTGTGGAAGAGTCTACAAGATGTTTAAGTAGATTTAATGGCTTCAATATTATGTTACCTGGAATGATGAATAATTAAAGATGCTACCTGTCCAACATGTAAACATTAACATTGCCAGATTGTAAGGTGGCAATTTCACCAGATAATTTAAAAATATTTAATATGGGACCCTAAAAATGCAAGACCCGTAGTATCTGCTACTTTTGTTACTAAGTTTTTTCAGCACCAGTTCAAAATCATGTATATTTTCAAAAGATTTGAAGATCAGGTCAAAGAAGGTATCCAATAATTGTCAGTTCTGTTAAGTATGTTTCTTAGTACATGTCTGCACATTTCACATTTATGAATTCATTCAAGTGTGTATTAAAAATGTTTTAAAAAGAAAAGTTCCAGAAAGTGAAACTTGAATTTTCCATGTATCAAGCACTTTATTGAAACCACATGAATGAAGTGCTAATATACTTTGCCATAGTCAGTCTCCATTTCACAGATCCTCTGTTTTTCTCTTGAACTCATTTCTGTATTGTTCATTTTGTCTCTTGTTCATTTACCCTTTGTGTTGTGTACACTCTTTGTTTTTTCTTTGAAACATGGAATTGAAATTTCTTTTACAAATGATGTTTTTCAAACAAGACAGCTTTTCATTAAACAAGAATATCTGAAATCCATTTTATTCAGATATACAATGTATATGTCTCCTGATAAAAGCCGGAGTGTACAAAATCCAGAATGTGCAACGGCCAAAACCTTGTGAATATGACAATAAAAATGAAGACAACAGTCCAAACAATGTAAATAGTTTAAATAGTTATAATGCCTCATCTCAGAAATATAGACAGATGATAAAAATCATCATCTTATTGAAAGTGTTTGATTTCTACATGAAACATAGTTCCATATGTGCCTTCAAAAAATCAATATATGTTTGAGTTGTCATCTTAACATCATATGGGACTTCACCCTCTATAACTCCAGCACAAAATATCATACCACTTTCACTTTGATGATCTCTATGAGGATGGTTTCTCACAGTAACCAACTATACTTTGTTCTATCTGCCAGGCCTATCTGCCAGGCCTAAGGATAGCATGGTACTAATCAGTGAAAAGAACAATTGCTAAATTGGTCTTTATTTATTCTACCGCCCATTTAATTTGATTTTCTTTATAGATGTTGTTATATTAGGATTGGCATGGTTTTAGCTGTTTTGGAATGGAGGTTGCAGTGTCAACTGTGAAGGGAATGCCTTGTAAACAAATTGAGTTAGGCTGAGGTGACGGCAGGGACTGGTGGGCTTGTTTTATGGAATGGAGATGTGTTGACTGTGAAGAGAATGCCTTGTAAATGAGTTGAGGTAGGCTGAAGTGACTGCGGGTGTTGATAGGCCTATTCTATGGAACAAAGGTTGCTGTGTCGACTGTGAAGGGAATACCTTGTAAACGAGTTGAGGTAGGCTGAGGTGACAGCGGGGTTTGGTAGCCCTGTTCTATAGCATGGAGGTTGGAGTTATGGTGAAGGGTCAACTTCTATTGGTTGATATTTGCTGAGGTGACAGTGTCATTGACAATGAAGGCTTGTAGCTGAGTGGTGTCAAGGCTGGATAGTTGTCTACTCATGGGTGGTGTTTGCTGAGGTGATGAGGTTGGTGTCGATGAAGACTTGTAGCTGGGAGGAGTTGAGGTTGAGATGTTGTCAAGTTGAAGCTGGATAGCCGAGGTTGTTGGTCAAGCCTAGGAGTGGTAATGGTCATTGAGAGGTGTGGTCAGGTTGAGTGGTGGCAATGAAGACAGTGGTGGTGGTGGTGGCAGTGGTGACAGCAGCAACAGGGCCCTGTGTGACAGTCTCCGTCACACTGGGCTGCAACTCAGACAGTTGTTCCCAGAGACCTGCTTTTAAGCAGGTCTGGCAGTCCTCAGGGACATCTCTCTCTCTCTCTGGTGGGATGTTCAGGATTGGCCACTGCCGGAGCTCACTTCATAGACCAGATGTGATGCATGGAGCCTAATTTGCAGAAAATGAGTTTTGTTATTTCGTTCACATCCAGCCAGCATGCAGAATGAATCAGAAAGAGATCTAATTGTGACAGAGTATAACAATGTCTTTTAAAAGAGACCTAGTGATCAATCATATCTTTTGCCACTAAATTTAGGACACAACAATTTGTGAATTTTGACATTCATCAATGCCCCAATGCCTAAATATTTCAAAACTTGACAAAGACAGATTGTCAAAATAAAGTCCTTAAATTACCCTTATCAAACCTACATTAACCTTAATCAAGATTTTCTATGAATAGTTTATAATTTCTAATGTTGTTTTACTTTTTTCAATTTACTCTTTATCCATGAAATCAGTCTTACAACCCATTTACAAGCATTAAACTCAATGTGGCAATTAATTTGAATTCAATCAATTCAGGACATTCTATACAAATGATTGCTATTTGCTTACATCCACATAGAACAAGATGGCTTTCATCCTAACTGCACAGATAGATGGTAGCATTATTCAGTAAGTCAAATTTTAGGTTCAAATAAATATTTATATTGATAAAACATGAAGTGGTTAATAATATGAAGCAATTTGGATGTGTATGTATATGTGTTTGTGCATGTCAATCATTATCTTCTGTCTTCTTAATTCCTGTTCTTTTATTGTTCTCTCTCCTTAATAGTGTTTTTTTTTCTAATATGCTGTAACACTCAGTAATCCCTTGTGTCTTAGTAGCTTTATTGCCTTTCTTGGGGTGAAATGATTAAAATAAGTGTGTGTGTGCTTCCAATCAATAGAAGCAACTCTTTATATGCTCCAGTTACTTTTGAATAGAGATCTTAAAAATCTTATTCTGTCTCAGCTCTGTTGTCAGTTACTAAAGGCTTGATTAACCTTCTTTATACAATAAGTAAATGCACTTAAAGAACAGATGTGCAATGTTTAAACCTTTGCTACCTTAATCAATTAATCTATGATTAGCCATTATAATTTTTTGCATACGTCATAAATCAATAGTTTTATGAGTTTGGACTTATCTATGTACATATGTGTTTGTATTTCTGCATGTGTTTATATCTGTGTGCATATGAGATAACGATATATATCTTTATCTATCAAGAACAGTGTTATAGTGGAACACACCTATTCTATAGTTAATAGACTCTCCCACCTATAATAAGTAGGAGTAGTAAGAGTCGCTCAGTGGGTCGGTCAGTCAGTCGATGCCGGACGACCATTAGTCGGATACTAAAGTATCAGCGACCACAACTAGATTACTCTGCGTCATACTTATTATATGAAGTTCCTAACGTTTTGTACATCGAACCTATTTTAGGACCGACTTAGTACAAATACAAGTCTCCACTGTGAAATCACTCCATAACAAACAGTATTGGGGAAAATGTAAGGAAAAATTTTTCCATTTTGTCTTACAATTTCCCCAATATGTGCACACACACACACACACACACACACACACACACACAAAAGCTTAAAATTTGGTATGTTTATGGAAGAAAGTGTTCAATATCTGAGATAGAGCATTTATAGACATAAACAGTGTAAAAATAGGAAGCAACACTGCATGGTAACTGTCCATTTCATACTTCAGTGTACTCTTTATACCACTGTCACACCTCAAACAATCTGTTGAAGTGAGGTGTAAAACTAACAGTCAGGTCATGCTATGTTGATTTCTATGCCTATATATATATATATATAGATAGATAGAGAGAGAGAGAGAGAGAGATTTGAAAACACAGGAAAGCATTTTTTCTTTAAGGATCCTTGTCAACTAACATTTCATCAGAAGAATACATTGGTAAATATTAAAATTTATTAATCAAAACAAGAGTGAGTGGCAAGATACAGTGACAATTTGTTTACTGTCCTGTGCAGAGCTTGGCCCACTCAGCATTTACACATATTAGAAGCAGTTTTTCTTAAATAAAATCAACTGTCTCAATGCAGACAGAAAGAGTATTTCGTTCATCGTCTTGGCCTTTTAGGTGATATGTGAGTGAATTTTTCTATTTTGTAGTCATTAGGAATCCTTTATATTGGTGTTTTTTCCAGTATTTTTCCACTTTTGTTTTTATTAATAAATTTGTATTTTAGCCGTGGTTCCTTTTTTTTGCCTCCTTATATTTTTCTTTTCTTTTAGTGTGAATTGTAATTCTGTCAATTTAATATTTACCAACATATTCTTCTGATTAAGTGTTGACTGAAAAGTATCTGTTATGGTAATTTACCCACGCATGTATGGACTCTCCCAGTTATAAATAGGAGCAGGTACTGCTTTTTGGAGTGGGAAGTTTCCAGCAGTCAGCTCTGAAAGTTGAACTGAAAATTCTTGCTGTAACACTCTCGTTTGTATATGTTTGTATTACTGTTTCTGTTAATATATTTGTTTAACTCAATTCTTCTCTTTGTGTCTTTATTTCTGGACCTAACAAGGCCACAACAGTATTCCTGCATTTTCAAATTTATATAAATGTTCTGTGGTGTCAGACTTCTATTTATATAGATCAAAATTTAACATAGTGGACACTTTTTATTTCTATTTATTAAATAGTATGTATTATGTGTATTTCTTGCTCATTGAAGGAATCTTACTAAAGAAAATGTCCTCTCTTTACTAAGATTTCTTCAATGAGGAGGCAATACACATAATACATACTATTTAATAAATAGAAATATGGCATCTATTTAAAATTATATGTGTCCATTATAATAATTTTTGAAGTAATAAAAATATCTTATATTCAATGGGCTGATTTTGCCAGCCATTGAAATTTTCAAACATCTTGCAAAGCATGTTGAGTAACATGGGCATCATGTAGGCAGGTATTATCTTGCTGGGTCAGCACATTGACTTTCTGTTACAGAAATGGCAGAAGAATGAATTGAACAATGTTTTGAATGTATTGAGTCATAAATAATGTCTGTTTTTGTTCTTTTCCCTAATAGTGTGAGGAAACAAAACACCCAGCTTGCTGACTTTCTCTATTTTTCTAAGTGTCAGCATATGGTTTATGTGTTGTGCTTAACATCTTTGCTAATTCCCGAGTTCTTTGTCATAGACTGCTTTCCACTAATGACTTTAGAGCCTCACTGACAGCAAGATAGTCACATTTCAAATCTAAATTGTTTATCTGTTTAAAATACTATATTTATTAGAAAATATATTCAATTTAAATACATAAGGAGTCATAAAAATGATTTCAAAGGGTCAGCTTATACTCTTTTCCCATTACCTGGGGGCTGTTGCATGACAAAAGGAGAAATTAGCCCTCACTACACAGATGCCCAATATAATTTCATTCTAATTATGTGTGTGTATGTATGTGTGCATGTATATTTTAATTCAATAGTAGGCCTAAAGGCATTTCTACAAAATTAAAAAGAAAAATTTTTGTGATTACGAAATAATTTCCAAAAAGTTCAATTAATTTTCATAATTGTCTGACTGTTTACGATTTAAAATTTTTTTTTTTGTCTCTGACAGCAAGATCTTATTCATGAGCCCAGGGTAAGGATTGTCCAGAATGAGTGAGAGAAGAACGTTTTATTTCAATGCCTTATTTAAAACTCAGTCAAATTGTGTGTGTTTATGTGTGCGTATGTTTGTGTATACATTAAATGTCAAAAGTATTTGTAAATCGCTCGTGCATATACATTACATACGCACATATACATACATATACATATTACAGTGTTTGAATTGTTATCCTCATCTTTATTGTCATATTCATGATGTTTTGGCCATTGTACACACCAGCCTTCTACAGGTGATATACAAACTGAACCCTTTATTTAGTCCACGGGGGTAGATTTTTCTACTTCCACATGCCATGCCTTTTCTCAATTTAAGTTAATACCCTTTAGTAACTCAACTCTCCAAGTGTTTTGTTCATCTTCGCTGTGGCCAGATATTGAACTCACAACTCTTTGGCTCTTTTGGATTAATTCAACCAACACTTTTATCCACTGGGCCATTAGAATTAATTTTTGGGACTTACAAACCTAATGACTCAGTAATCATTTTTTTTACTATATCTAATATTACAATTTTTGTTATTGTTGTTTTTCCCTAGCTTTCTGAATTACTATTTCCCATATTGTATTCATGTCTATGTTTGGCCAGCTTAGGAGATTTTTGTGGCCTAGCATATATACTGATTTCTTAAGGACAATGACTGAAACATTGTGAATATGACAATAAAGATATTTACAAATTTAAAATAATTTCTTGTTCATTTTTCTTTATACAGGGAAGTTACTACCTCTGCACCAAATGAAACTGTTGGAAAAAAAGAAGAAGAGATAAAAGCCATAGCCAAAAGTAAATCTAAGGTAGATAACGTGTCAGCATTGGGAGCTGAGAACCATCCACCTGATGGTTACAACAAAGACCCTGATTCTTTCCGTCGATATTTAGTATCACTTAAGAGACAATGTAATAATTTTGGATATGCAGCTTCTGTAATAGATGATCATCTTCTACGTTTGGATGATGTTAGATTACACACATTTCATCGTAAAGCACTTATATCTGAAGATGATACATTTGATATATAAAGGATATTTTTCACTTAAACATATGGGATATGTATCATAATGGCTTAGGTATTTATTCAGAATAATATCCTCATCTTTATTGATTTTGAGACAATATTTTGGGCTGATTTACCCTCCAGATTTTAGCATTTCTGAGATGAGAAAAAGCATGATTTATTCAGAAAAATATCCTTATATTTGTTGATTTTAAGACAATATTTTGGCTGGTCTGCTATCCAACCATCATCAGGTGAATACTGTAGTCTTTATTTCATGCATGAAAGAATGATATCCTTGTCTTTTTTTACTCATAGTCTGTTGCTCTTCACAGAAATTGATACTGACATTTTATGTTTTGTCTTTCTTTAATGGTTCCTCTTATTGGGTGGTGGTGGGGGGCAAGTACTTCATTTATAAAAATGTTTTCTATTGCTTCTGAGCATAAACTTGTGAAATCCATCCTTTATCTGGATAGGTGATGACTTGTTATCTTGCTAGGATATAATATTCTATGGGATAGGAAGGAAACAGATCAGATTATGGAAATATCGTTGTAATATTACAAAATGAATTGTTATACATAAAGAGTGAAATACTTGGTTTGATAGCAAAGAAAGTTATTGATTAGGAGAATAACTAAAATAAACCAGTGATTGAAATATTCTTTCTGAAAAAAAATTACTTGATGTGGTATTTGCTAAGTGAAGATTGGAAAACTAGCCAGTTGAAATGTTATAAGTAACAAAGTTAATACAATTGTATCAATTCCTAAATTATATAAAATGTATTACCTGCCTTAGAAGGAAAAAGGTTTTATATATTTATATTTATAGATCTTATTTATCTTATTAAATTAGTTTATCCATACTATCAAAAATGGCATCTAATATGAAATTGATATTTTGTTAAGTCTTTACTGTTATAAGAGTGTTTTCACATGGGAGTCTTTAAATAAATTGTTAACAATTATTATTGTTTTTCTCTTCTCTTTTGCAAATTTCATCTTTTCACCTCCACACTTCATAAACTTATTGAAACAGTTCCTCATTAACATGGGAAACACATTGTGTCCTGACCTGAAACTTTAATACAGCAAAACATTTCAGAAGAAATGTCCAATGGTATATTATGTAATAATAATAATAATAATAATAATGACTAACAATACCCATGGAAATTTCAGTTTCTCTATTTGAATTTTCTAATGGATCCTAATTCTTAAGTTAATGACTGAATAAAATATAAAATACACATGGAAATTCCCCTTTTGGAGTGTTAAATATTTGCACTTAACAACTTTAACAAAATATTACAATATTACAATAACAATCATAAATATGAATGCAGATCATTATTTAAAGAAGTAAGAGGGTACAAATGAAAAGATTCAGCATTAACAAGGATTTCCCTTTCACTAAAGTAGACATTAATCATATGAGTGTATTATATAGATAGTCCACTATCTTCTCTTTCTTTCTTTTACTTTCTTTTCTCTAAAACCAAACAGCCTTTGACATATCTTGTCTTCCATCTATCCTCACAATAAAAAAGAAATGACCCATTGTTTATTTAAGGCAATGGCAGGGCATAACATACATGCTAAATAACTAAATAAGGATCTAAGGAACATGTCGCCCTCAACCCCTCCCTGGTCATAAGGAGACCAAGATCAAATTGTTGTAGGTATCTTCGCATTGGGCTGGTCCAAATAGGATGAAGATGTACAGGAAAATAAAAGAAAAATAACTCTTAAATAATATAAAAATATATATACTATTTTTACATCAAGTTCTTTATGAAGTAGTTGGTTAATTGTTGTTAGAGTCTAGGAGTTTGCAAGCAGGCATTTATCAACTCAACCCACTTCTTAAGTTAGACATGACACTTTTTTAACTTGATGGGGTGTCTCACATTCAGTGGCTGGAATGATCTCCGTCTTCTACTCTGGAGGCATTTATATTTATTGACACTTACCCAAAACTGGTGTGTGGAAATGGGGTGGCTGGGTATCTAGCATTTTCTCTATCTGTCACAAAGAACCCTTTTCCATTGTTTTCCTAATTTGGCAGTCTCCTACTTTTCTTGGGTGATGGTCGTAGGCATTAATCAACCCAAAACTACTTCTTTCTCTTCTTAGCATCTCCCACTAATACTCCTTTGTGGGTATGGGCAGCTCCCCCACCTTCCTTGGTGTCTCATCTGCACCTGCCACTTCAGCCACCCAGTGAAGACTAATTCCAAGTTCGTTAATTAAAAGAATTATTATACCAAACTTATTGTCTTATGAGAAAATCCTCTGACATCAGTGTTGGTTTTTCTTGTGTTAAAGTTGAACACAAAACAGATGGCTTTCCCCTCCATCAGAGACATTCTCCAAAGAAAAAAATTTTTATCTCCAAATTATGTTTTTAAAATCTTATCCAATTCTCTCCACTTCTGGTTTCATAGCTAGCACTCATAGCAGCGGTCATCCATCAAATGCCAAAACATTGCTAGATGTCCCTGTTGTAAAAGTTCAGTGAAGGAATTGTTATTTCAAGCCTGTTGCCTCTGCAGAAAAATTCCCCATATTGTGTTTATATTTCTCTCATCTGAAATCAGATACAGACCACATGGCCTTTTCTCATCGGCATCATTCTTCGAGGAAACATTTATCTCTGAATTGTGATTTCAAATCTTATCCAATTCTCTCCACTTCTGGTTCTACAGCCAGCACCCATAGTGGTGGTCATTAATCATTTATCAAAATATCGCTATATGTCCCTGTTGTAAAAATTAAATGTTGTTTTTAACTGGCCACCTGGTCCTTTTAGAAATTTTCAGCTTTCTGAGAAATAAAATTTTCTATATTTCTCATGATAGTTTATTAGTATATCATTCTTGCTATCCAAAAATGACTTATAATTATTTACCAGTAACAATTAGTATTACAATCAAGCTGAATGTATTATATTATCATAATAATAAAAACATAGACCTGGCAAAACATTTAGTTCAGTAGATGGCTGGATTTTAGCATGTTTAAAGGAAAGCAGATTTTTGTAAAAAAAGTGCTGAATATTAAATAATAGAACAACAATAGTTAATAGATAAAGAAATGTTCAAAAAACTTATCTTCTGATTTGAAGATTTTCAGATATATTGCTTGTCAGTATGAGATAAATCTATTGAATTTATTAATATTTATATATTGGAGAAAAATGCAAGTTAACGTGGAAAAAGTTTTCTTGTGACGTGTTTCGTCCTTTAGGACTTTATTAGACTAAACTTGTTATGTTGGTGCAACTATACATGCACAGAGGAATTTTCAATTAAATTTTTTTCGTTTTATATATATATATATATATTATTTACAAGAGGAGAAATACATTGAAAACACTTTCAAACTTCTCCAGTACCCTAATTATTTTATATTCTAAAACAATCACTTTGTTTTTGTCAGCTCCAAAGGTTTCAATAAATATCTGCCAAAAATAATTATTATTATAATACACAAAACTACAACATGCTATAGCCACTGAAACCATGAGATCACCCCTGGTCGGCGGCTGATGAAGACAGGGTATCACACGTGCTAACACACGTTGTATGTTAAAAATTGTTATTATTTACACTATTTACATTGTTTGGACTGTTGTCCTTATCTTTGTTGCCATATGCATGATGTCCCAAATTCATACACTGATGTCCTCAAGGACACATGGCTCAGTGGATAAAAAGTGTTGGTTGAAGTAATCCAGTGACTTGATCCAAAGAGTTGTGAGTTCAATACCTGGCTACAGCAGAGGTGAACAAAAACTTGGAGAGTCGAGTTAAAGGGAAATAACTGATAGTGAGATATCCAGAAGAGGCGTGGCACGTGGAATTAGCACAATCTATCCCGGTGGATGAAATAAAGGGTTCTGTTTGAAATTCCAATCACCTGAAGAAGGCTGGAGTGTACAATGGCCCGAAATGTTGTGAACATGGCAATAAAGATAAGGACAACAATCCAAACAATGTAGATAGTATAAATAATTATTATAATTATTTATACTATCTACATTGATCTATCATCTCAGAAATATAGACAGATATGTATTTGTTAGTATAAAATGTGCACTTAGTGTATGCTTGGTAGATGAAGTAGTTGTGTGTCTGTCACAGGTGCCACTGGTTGGTATTAGAACCCAAGTAAATGTTAGGATTTCAATCTTGTGGTCTCCAATAGTCAAAAATATATTTATACCTTTATAGTACAAATATGAGTTTATCTCAGTTTATTCATATTTTTCTATCTGTGAAGCCAATAGGACATAGTGGTATTAATTTGTTTTTAATGGCTTATCAAATTTTCAGGGGTCATTTAAAGCTGAAACAAATTTTTGAGTGGAATACTTCTTTTTTGTGAGTACAATTGTTTTTGAGAATAACAATAATTTTTCAAGATACCAGTCTTACTATTTAACCCATAGCTTGGGGAGAAGATGGATTCATACTTTTTTCAAGAGTATTTGCATGTAAGTGAATGCAAAAAACTTGACTGGAATTTGAACTTGGCTCTCTGATTTCTCATTTCACCACCAGTACATCCAGAGTTACATTGGCTCACAAATGACAGTGGTCAGTACTTTAGCATTGGTAAAAGGCTGGATTTTCAATACTGATTTCCAATGCAATCAAGCCCTCCCCACTTAAAAAATTATTGCAACATAATCTGTCTTCCTCCTCATTTCCTCTCATTTACCTTTGCTAAACAAAGCCAAGTCTTTTCCCTTAGCTATATAGACTTGTTAGTTATAGCTGGACTTAACACTCTAGCAAGTAATCCCAACAAAGAAACACAGAAAAAAGAGTGTGAATTAAATGTAACCACATATTTGTATGAAGAAAATATTCAACACAACTAAAAAAATATATATACAAAATGATATAAGATTAAATATACTTACAGACATACCGATTTTGTATTAATTACTCCCTAACTAACCTAATGCAGTTTGTTTTTAATTATTTCACCCCAAGTAAGTGTGAAAGAATAAGAAAAAGAAAAAACAGTATTAAGGAGTGAGAACAATAAAAGAGAAGGAATCAAGACAATTAAAAATGCAGTTAAATTTTTTAAGATCAAAGTGGGCTGAAAAGCAAGAAGCTGGAGGAGAGTTCTACAGTCAAGAAAAGAAACTGTTAAAAAAGAAATTATGGTTACATCATATCAGTTCAAGTGTAAAATGATGAGACCTTGTTGCCAATCTAGTACTGTGCTTAAATTCAGAAAATTAGGCACCATAGATCAAAGTTCATCAGAACAATTACCATGCAGGTATTTATAGAAAAGTCACAGGGAAGTTACATTATGGTGGCAGGAAAGTGACTAAAGAAGAGATATCAGGTTAGGACCAATAACATTGAAGATTCTTCCTTGGATTTTATTAGGAGTTTCTAAATATATAGCAGGAGCTCCAGACCAGATGTGGCAGCAATATTTGAAGCATAGATGAATGGTAGACTTATAAATATGTAAGATAGATTTTGGAAAGAAAAACTGTCTACCATGAAACAGTGAACCAACATTCCTAGCAGCAGACCTAACAATTGATTCAATATAATCTTTACACTTCATGTTAGCAGAGAATGTTAGTCTTGGAGGTTAGCTTAAAACCATGCTGTTGGAAAACAGAAAGGGGTCTCTCAGATGTTTAATAGAAAGCAGTTTTGTTTTAGAGGCATTAAAATCAACAAGCCATTCCTTGCCCCAGTTAACAGCAGATTTTAGGTCACTTTTGAGATCAGCTGCCAATTTGACCTTATTGAACCAATCCTTTTATAGCCTAATGAATTATGCTTAACTAAGTAGTAAAGGTTAGTAAAGCTGTAAAGGTTCTCTTAGATTATGCACATGTGTTATCCTTTAGATGAGAAGTTTCCAACAGGGGTTTTGGATGGATCCATATGACCAGCTTTGGTGGCAAAGTGTGAATTGCTGCTGATGTTTCATGTCATCATTGCTCACATATTCAGTGCATGGTATCCTTAGCAGCCTTCTGTAGAACCATACCTCTGTGTCTTGAGTCTCTTCTTCATCTTTGAGTAGACTGTCCAACATTCACTGCTGTAAAGGAGGACATATCACGTAATAGTTCAGTAATTTTTTCTTTGTTACCTACAAAATCCTCCTGTTTTACAATACTCTGCCTGGCTTTTGGAATGTGTCTTTGGTCACCCCAATACATCTTCAGATCTCATTCGTTTCTTTGTCTGTTATCAGCACTGTGTCATCTGCATATCCTATGCTGTTAAGATTGTGGCCACCAATGATGAATCCTGGTAGGATTCCTAGTTCTCTGAGAACTGCCTCGCTGAACTCATTTTTTATCTTTATGCGGGTGGTTTTCTGCCAGTAGAGCTTTTTGATTATTCTAATGTCTTTCCTGAATATGTTGAGGCTGCTGAGCAGTTCTAACAGATCTTTGTGGCATACTTTATCAAATGACTTTGCATAGTCTATAAAACACAGGTGCAATTCTTTTAATGTTTTTAATATGAATATTTTAGTATCTGTTTTCTGAACACTTTTTAAAGCATGATTTAGTGAATCATTGGAATGTATTCCATTTTTTAGATCATATAGATAAATAGCTTTTATGGAGATAAACTGATTTTTTTTACAATGATGGTCACCCTGTACAAGGCCCAAGAGCCACTCGAGGTAGAGGGTTACAGAGTAAGAGGCACTACTCCAAGCAAGGTGGTAATGCCACCAAGATGCAAGGGGAGCCCAGAAGTGAAAGAGAAGGAAAAGAATTTAGAGGGAACTGGAAACCCAATGCTAAAGAGGAAACAAAGGATAAACCTCTATTCCTGTTCAAAAGACTCGAGAAGAGTGTGAATCAGACAAGAAGTAAAAAAACCTATCTACTGTATCGGGAACACGGAAGAAATGCTTAGAAAACATTAAAGATACAGGAAAATGATTAACAAAATATACTTGGTACATCTTGTATGTAAAATTGGTGTCTCTAATAATTTTTATTTTTTTAGGTAAAAATAGAAAATTTTCTTCACTCTCCTAATAATAATTATCCGTTTCTTACTCAGGTATTTTATCATCTCAAATCAATCAAGGTGTTCACTCACTTTTTTGTGATATTTTAATAATGAAGAATTCCTTTTTCTTTTCTTGACTATATATTCTTTTCATGCCGGCATATGAAAAAAATTACATATCCTCGTTCATATCAATAGGTGAACAACACAATTCTACAATAAAACTAAAAGAAAAAATCAATTCGACTTTTGCCTTGATACGTTTTAATTCCTTTTTGCGTTAAAAAATATAAACAAGACTCCCCAGTATTTTAAATTGTAATGATTATTACAAGAAAACTTCATGACTTCAGTAAATAAAAAAATGAATTCCATCATTAGTGCAATATAGCTCAGAGCAAGGGAGAGAAGCCCAGGATCTGATTTTCATTCTCCTACGTTAAATTATATTTGTGAGAATCACCATCGAAGCACTTAGACGGTTTGTCTACTGCTCTAACACTGATTCTGATCGAAAAATGCTCTTCAGTCGCATTTTAAAGTTCGCTAATCAAAATTACGAAGCAGAAAGAAAGCATATCTCGTGTGTAACGGGAGATCACTCTGGGCGATTGAAGAGCTCTCCAAGTAAAGGTGTGGATAGTTGCTGGAGACAACCAAAATGGCTGAGGTTCGAGATGGGGATCAGCCGCCCCACACAGAGTCGGACCCAGCTAACGCTGGAGCGACAGCCTCGATCTTTGAGACAGAGGCACCCGGAACAGCACCGTCAGATGGAACGATGCTGGTGGCTAGTGACTCCTTCGAGAACATATACGAACCAATAGAATCTATACGGCCGAGACTTGGCAGTGGAATTATTGATAGTATGTCTGGTAAAAAAGGCAAAGACGATGACGAAAACGAAGAAGAAATAGAGGAGGAAGAAGAAGAAGAAGAAGAGGAGGAGGAGATAGACAAAAACCTTGTGTTATACGAGAAAGTCGACGACGAAGAAGAGGATAATAAGCTACAGGAGGATTTACGAGATGATTACCAGCTTTCAGGATTAAACGATGAAGTTAAGGACGAGAGGATAAGCAAAGGAGCGGAGGAAGAGAAAGAAGAGGAGAAAGAAGAAAAGTTGATGATAATGGATGAAAAAGAAGTTGAAAAAGATGAGCGAGAAAAAGTTGAAGGAAATGAGGAAGAGGCAAATAAACCCAGTAATAACGATGGTGTTATTACTACTAGTACACTGTCGCCACCCCAGACAGAGAGCTTGGGTACAGATCCAGGTTCTGGTTCAGGAACTAATATTATTACTCATTCCACGGACTCTATGTCAACGTCGACAGCGAGTGCGAGTACCCCGGGTGGCGATGGTAGTGGAGGCCCGGCCCTCTCGGCTAAAAAGGTGAGTAAAAATAAATAAATAAAAAGAAACAAAAATGATTAGAATGTTCTTTGTTCAAAGTTAAAAACTGAATCCAAGTTGGGAATTGTACGAATCGCTTGTTGGTTGGATTTTATTATTAATCTTTCTTTTTTATATGTTGTTTGTTAAGAAGGAGATTTAAATCAAATTATTTGATTACGTCCTTGTGATTACTCTTTCATTTTTGCAAGAGCAACTTTCATATTTAAATAATTGCATGACTTTCACTTTTTTTAAATTTTAACTAAATTTTTAGATTTAGTTTAAGTTTTGAATTTTGATTTTTGATGCATGGTGGAATATACCATTCTTAGATTTATAGCTGATAATTCCTTAATTTAGAAACTTTTTAATAGTTAGGAAGCTAAGTCTACTCTAGGAAGTAAAAATCATTAACGAATTGTAACAACAACATTTTACGCATGAATCAAATACAAATATGAGTCGAAATAATAAGAGGCTTTTTAAACTAAAGCAGTAAATGAAATTTTGTTTTTTAACTGAAAAACTGTTTTCTTTTTTATAAAATAGAAATATTACATAATTCACAAATGAGTGTTTCTGTGTTATCGAAAAATAAAAATTTCCCTTTTTTTTGTGAATAACCGGATGAAATCAAAAAGCAGAAATGATTACCAACTTGTTAGTAACCATACTTATTTTTAAACAGGTTTTTTTTCTTTATAATGAGGACATTGTTAGATCATTACAAAATAAAACTGCAACGTTAGGGGCGTGGATTTTTTTTTATTTTTACTCTAAACTAAACGGTCACGGTCAATAACTTATAAATTTTCTACTTATTTACTTTGTTTCACATTACAAGTTCATTCATATTTAAAACTTTTGACAGCACTTATTATTTGTCGCTTTCTACCTCAGGTCACTACTGACAATTGAAAATAATACTCGTCGCAATGCAGACCATTTTTAAAGAAAAGTAGTCAATTTGTAATACAATTACAATCCTATTGTAAATAAAATATCCAATGATCAATGGAAGACTTTCTAGCTAAAAAGTGAAAAGCACAAACAAAAATGTTTTGAAAAATGATTTAACCTTTAAAACGTATTCAGAATATGAAACAAGAAAAAATGATTTTCTTAAATTGGACAACTTATATAGCCACTCTTTGAGAAATGGTCTTAATCTCTGCTTTCTTGTTTATCACCCAGCAATAAAAATCAATTTTAAATAAAAAATGTTTATCTTTTTTCCCGATAAATTTACAGTATTGTTTGATTTTTAGAGCTGAATACTTGGTGATAAGGTTTTTTTCGTGTTTTTTTTAAGAAACCCCACCACCACTAAAATTTCACCCAATTGTTTAATTTATTGTCCTTTGAGTAATAATTCGACATTTTTAACTTTTTTAAAAGTTAGTGGATATTTGCATTAGAAATAGACGTCCCTAATGTTTAAAATAAAAATAGGGCAACTATTTCAAATACGAGTGTCTACACTACAGCGTTTGAATTGAAGTAATATCCTTTTTTAATTCAATGAACACGCTTATCTTCATCTTTTGACCTCGAAACAAAAGAAATAAACTATAACACAGACTAACAGCTGTTACTTAGGATATCTGTCCTTCACGCAGCACCTCCCCGTTAAAAGTAAAAAGGAGATTTAGTACCCACCCTTAAAAAACTAAAAGTCACACGGTAAATTGTTTCTTAGCTTATTTCACAAGTCTTAAGTTGGGGATGCAGAATTAAAATTACATAAATGTACAATATTTCTGTGTTTAAGATTGATGTTTTTTGTCTTATGTGTGTAAAAATGGAGATATATGCCATGCGTATTCAACATCTCCACAGAAAACTGATGCGTGTTATTCAATACTGTGTATAAAAAATAAAAGTATCCCTCATCATCGTTTATGTAGTGTTGTCATGTGTTATACTTCACTTACAATACTAAGTGTTTACTTATCACATGTGTAAAAGGAGATGTATATGCTTTATGCATATCAAAAACACATAAGATTAAAAAAAAATGTTTATCAGAAAAAAAAAACTGTTCGTACGTGTATTTATAATTTCCGTCATTGAATGAAGTAATAACGCATATCAGGGTGATTGTATATAGCTTTTTTTGTTTCTGTAGAAAACGTTGATTAATAGTTTAATTTATGAGTGTATAATATTTAATTTATTCGTTACAACTAACACGCTGTTTGTTTGTGCATGTATGTTTATATATGTTTTATGTGTGTGTGAGCGAATACACACAATTTGACATTTGTAAAAATATTTACTTATACTTTGCTTGGGCTTCCTGCCCCCAGTCACACCGACTGCATCAATTTGTCAGAAAACATGGAATACAGGTATACAGAATGTGCCGGATTTATTTATCTATTTCAACACTCTGCATTATTCATTACTTCAATTTCCACTGTATATGACAGTCCCTAAACACTTTCTCTTGTTGACATAGCAGAACAAGACAATACAGCCGTGAAATTCAAACACACTTGTTTTTAGTAAATCATCTGAAGTGGCAGAACAAACGTTTTACTCAAAATTACAGTTTATATCCCTCTCACACGTATACATAGAGAAATAAAGAATAATTGCTCAGTTTCTCTTACACTTCTCTTTTTGGAACGTATCTGGCATCAGGGATTTACCTTGGCCCTCTCCATTTTTTGCAATGGACCCTTAGAACTGATCATACTATTTTTTTTACCCTGTTTGGAGTCTTGATGGGGCCAGGTAATAAAATCAGTATATTTAAGAAAAAAAGGGTGGTTATTCAATGATAAAACTGTCCTTAGTCTTGATTTGAGAACGACCTAGGAAATGATTGCATACTTGGATCAGGTGATTCGCATTCATGTTGGCTGTCTTCAACAAGTCCTTAGAATTGTAAAAGCCGCTTCTTGTTGGTCTCCGATGACGCTCCAGACGCAGTTGTTCAACGGATTTGAATCAGAAGAGCTAGGAGACAACGTTTTAGATGATCGTGAAAACTCTCGGTTAACCACACCTGGGTCACTTAAGCCGTGTGAAGAGAGCAAAGTCCTGCTAAGTAAGACATTGTACGATGTAGAGTCACTCCTCTGATCCAGTGCTTGACCATCATTGAGCCTGAGACCATGCGAGAAGTGAGACTGCATGCTCTAGGACGTCACAAACTTTGAATCTATCAGTGAGAGTATCTCTGTGGGATCCGTACAGTCACCTGTTCCTACTTTCCAATTTTCAAGAAGCTATCTGTCTCCAAGTCACTATTGGCAGTTAGTGCTACGAGCATGAAGTGTCATTGGAAGTTGACATACCCTCGATACATCGATGGAAATTATTAAAAGTTGGCGCTTGTTGTATAACATTTACGTTCAGTTATCTTCTATATATGCTCCGTTAATAATGTTATGGCGTATTCTGTCTAGTGCGTTCTGTACATGGAACTTAAAAGAAGAAAATAATTACTTGTAAACGAGTTGTAAAGCAAAACAATAAATATTTCGAGATTAAAAAGAAAACCGATCTTTGGAAGCATTTTCAAATGCAATCTTAACTCACGCTTTGAAAACAACCTTCAACTTTTCAAGATTCCTCGGATCCCTCCGCTGATCAATAAGCTTCCTCAAAATTTGCAGTAAATTTTCGAAACCAGGGAATTGATGAAGTCACTCGAATAGTCTGCTTAATTCTTACAAATTGTTCTTGTGTTTTTTTTTTTTTTGTTTGGAGGGGGGTATTTTTCTTTCTGTATTATTCTCGACGAGCGAGAAAATAGTGATCCCCCAGCAATCGCCAATTTCATTCATATTTAAATTTAATTTACCCTCCTTTCCCATACCATTATTGTTACTAGGAATGATGTTTCTGGGATCGTATGAAGAACTATTTCTTTTCTACTCGCACAAGATAAGGTTTGGCTAAAAAGTTAAATTGGTTTTGTCGGTCCAAAGAACTTTCTTATAAAATTTACTTGATTTTCTAAGTGTACTTTAACCTTACAGCTGTCATTAAAAGACTTTCTTGTTATATACGAATGAAACCATTCCCTCACAGTTCATTAATAATACTTAGCTTTTTTCAGATAATTATTACGTTTTTGTTCGACTTCTGCATTTTTAAAGTTTTCTGGTTTGACCAGGTATCTTATTTGGAGTACCACTTTGTGATAAGTATTTTTTTTTTGTCCCAAGCAATTTAAACTTTTAACTGATCCGATGCTTCTTTTGTAGTCTATATTATAAAAGAGCTGATTCTCTGCCCATCACACACTCTACGCGTGTGACTTTTCATATGTAATGTATATGATATGTGTCTGTGTTATTCGTGCTTGTATCATTTAATTTACCCACATGCACATTTCCATACACACATAATTTGACTGAGTGTGAAATAATACATTCCTCTCTCATTTGGTCTTGACAACCACTAGCCTAGGCTGAACAATAAAATCAAAGTGAGAGACAAGATAAAATTAAACCTTAAAAAAAAACGGATAATTAGATTTTATTGAACTTTTTGGAAATTATTCAGTAATAAATAGAATTATTTTTAATGTTTTATATATATATATTTTTTAATTTTGAAGAAATATTGTTAGGTCTGCCATTGAATTGAAATATATATACGCACACGGTTTGAATAAAATTGAAACGGACGTCTATGTTGCGAGTATTAATTCCCCTTTGTCTGGCAACAACCCTTGATAACAAGAAAATAAGTCATGTGTAGCCCTTGTTATGACTCCTGTATTTATATATTTTCTATTTTAAATGGACAAACAATTTTGATTTAAAATTTGATCATCTTGCTGTCAGCGAAGCGACAGGTACGGAACTGATTATTTACACATGGACTATTGTCCTTATCTTTGTCATCATAACGTTTCGGTCGTTGTGCATTCCGATCTTCATCATGTTAGAGATGTATATAGTTCCGGGTATCTTTTTAAAAAAAAATTATTTTATTTAATCAACAAAGGTAGACTGTTCTCGCGCCACTGCCCATATCGTCTGGTTCTTATTTTT